ATATGATATGTGAGCATTTTTCAAAAAACCCTAATTATTTCTCAAACTATTAATGTTAGGCATAGGACATATGGAATATAAAAGATGTAAAATGAGACGCCGAAGACGACTAAGTAATAAAATATGGGGGGTGCCATTTAAAAAAATGAAGTTATGGTGCTTCCAAATTTCGAAAAGTTAACGTATCATAGTAAAGTGACCAAACGATCTAGACAGCCGTTCTCGGCACCAAAACATACTCCATCATGTTGTTTAAGCATGTTCTGAATCCTAAATTGATATCTCAAAAATTGAGTGTTCTATGATTTTTTGAACAAATGTCCGCTGGAGCAAATTTTTCTAGAAAAATTCGAATAACTCGAGAATTGCTGGTTCAAATTGCAAAAAGTAAAGTTATTTATAAACCTTCAAAACAGACAAACCCAAATATGTAAAAATATACAGGGTGTACCATTTAAAAAAATAAAGTAGGCGGCGACTTCCGGCATAAAAGAAGTGCTAGAAATCTGAAAATATTTTAGATGAAGGGAACGTAATTGATAATACTTAAGTCTGCATTCTCAAATTTTTTGTTTGGCCAAAACCCCAGAAACGTCTAATGACCGGTCTCGCTGAGACACCTGTATATACTATATATATATATTTATTGAACTAAAACTAACACTAGATCTAGACCTAGAAAGTTTCAGGTTTAGTCGTCTTTAGATACGTGCGACTAAACCCAAATGATCCTAGTTCTAGGTATAGTGTTAGTTCTGCATAGAAACAGTGCTAGTGTAAAACTAGAACTAACACTAGACCTAGAACTAGAAAGTTTCGGGTTTAGTCGTGCGTCTAAAAACGTGAAAAATGTGAAGTTGACAGAAATTTTCTTTTGAACGTTGTTTTCTCTGATAAAGCTACTTTCTACTTGAATGGTAAAGGTTAATTAATAGGCACAATTGTCGTTATTAGAGTGACGAAATAGCACGTTTAATAAGAGAAGGTCATACTCAGAGACCGCAGAAATATAATGTATGGGCTGGTATTATGGGAGAGAATGTAATTGGTCCATTTTTTATTAATGGAAATTTGGATGAAGATATCTGCATCTGTTAGAAAATCAAGTGTACGTGCCGTATGCCCTAATGGTATTGACAATAAATAACTCCATCAAGATGGTAGTCCTCCACATTTTAGTCCCGCAGTCCGAGACTTTTTAAGCTGTACGTTTCCAAACCGTTGGATTGGTAGTAGAGGCGACATTGAGTGGCCACCACGATCTCCTGATCTAACATCGCTCGATGTACGTGTATACAACAAAACCAGAATCAATCAATGATTTCGAAAATCGCATACTTGAAGAACCACCAATATCACTTGGGATATGCCCCCGATGGTTCAAAATTCCATCTATGAGCGTTTGGGTTATTGCGAGACCGAAGAAGGTTGACAATTTGAACATTTGCTATAAAAATCGTAATAAAACTGCAAAAAAGCATGAAAACATTTTATTTTCCCATTTGGTAGTCAACCCCTCATAATTCTTGAAACAATTAAGATATCGGGTTTTGGTTTATGGGGTTGTGTTTCTTTTTTCATTACCTTTAAAATAAGGTAAAACTCTACAGGGGTTGCTATTTAAAAATGTAGGGGTGGTCATCCCCTAAAAATTCCACATTGCATGGAACTTCTAAACTATCTAAGAATGTAGAACTCTTTAGTGATTCCCAAATTTAGTTCTTCACTCGTTCAAAACTTATAGCTCCGTCCCGGGAGTTTTGGGAAACCCTGTATATTATTATTGAAAACCTTTACCCACTACCTCGGCTTCTAAGTAATCCATTTGTACTAAAGAAAAATTTACTTTATTTTAAGAACTACAACTAACTACTGCCTTGGTAACACGACTGTTTCGGTTTCTAAATAATATACAGGTGTCCGGGAATGACGTGTATAACGGAAGACCACAAGGAACCTTGACCAAAAGTATGATGATTTAACTCAACTTATCTATATATAAAATTGCTTAGTTTAGTCGCTAGAGGTCTTTAAAAATTCATGATGAATAAAAGATAAAACGCAAAACAAACTGTTTTTGTTTCTAAAATTAATTATACCTAGCCAACTATTAGAAAAAAAGTTATTAACTACCTTAATCACTCATTCACGCTTGTGAGGATTTAGAAAATATTTTTTTGTGGCTAAACCGTTCACCCAACTAAAATTTTGTAAGAGAGAAAATAGTTTCTAAATAAAAGTAGCTATTCAGAAAAGAAAGATGGTAGTGTTTGTACAGGGTGTTAAAAAGATATGGATGCATAAATTATTGTGACAAAGTTTTTAAACACCCTATAATTTTCGAAATTAGAGTTTATTCCACAAATAGCTGTAGTCTACTGATACAAACACATGGCCAAAAAATCCAACGAGGATTTTTCGACTTATTTAAAAAAATATATTATTTTTAAAGCCTTCTAGGGGGGCTAAACTCAAGGTCTATAGAACATAAGGTTACCCAATACCGATTCTCCTCCTCTGAGAGGCAAGGTGGGTCAGTGACGTAGCTGGTTCTATGAACAACACAACACCACCTATACTGTGGTACAGTCTATATAAAATATTTAAACCTCGCATCGTGTTGTCACGTATAGGCACATGTATAGGCTATCTTTTATTCTGACTGTATCGAACCAGTGACGTCAATTTGCGGGGTAATAATCGATACTACAGAGGCATAGGGAATGAGGTAACCTTATGTTCTATAAACCTTGGGCTAAACTAAGCAATTTTGTATACAGGGTGTCTCACGTAACTGATTCGTTAGAACTTTTTCAGGTTCTACTATTCGTAGAGATTTGAAATTTTGGTAGCATGGGTTGTTCATTCGGAACTTTCGATCTAAAATATTTTCAAGATGGCCGCCACTTTTGGTCTACCGGACTATAACTTCGCTATTTTAAATGGAATGCTATAGTTTTTATTACACCGTTTAATTGTAGGTAAAAAAATAGGTTGACTTTGATAAAAGTTATTGGTACCTAGCGTTTTTCGTTTTCGAGTTATTTTGGTTTTAAGCTTTTTTTGGTAAATTTCAACATGCTCTTTAAAACTTCATATCTCAGGCAACGTTCATTCAAAAAAGATCTACGTTGGCACGATTACTCTTCAGATGTTATCAAATAGATTGTCATTTGTTGTATCGGAGTATCTTATACAGGCTGGTCAAAAATTGAATTACTGTTTCTCCATATTCAATGGCGAGAAAGTCGAAAATTTTAAATGGAACGCCCCATATTTTTTTAGCCTATCAGGAAGAGAATTTAATTCTCTACAAATTATCTATAAACATTCTCATACTTATTTATTGTAGTTTGTTTCATATTGCGAAATTTATTAAAACATGCACGAAATCCAGGTTTTTTATTAGAAAACTATGGATTTTTGACAGTTTTTGGTCCATGTTTGTATTATTGTTGTCATTAGTTACATTTGACGACGGGTGTAAGTCATTGAACATCATGGTAAAAAAATCATGGTATTCCAACGCCGATATTTGAAATTTATTTTGTATTGATGGCGAAGTAATAAACTTTTGGACAAGACGTGTCGAACACTTAATGAGAGATGCCTAAAAAATTTCAAAAAATTGATAAAGAATTTCTTAGTTCTGGATATATCGAGACCAAAAGAAATCGCATATTTCAGGTCACCAGTGATGAAGACAACGAAATAAAAATATTTTGCCGTGTTTTATTGCATTTCCAAATTCAATTTTATAACAAATTTATATTATAAATTTATATTTTTATTGAAATCTAATTTTTATCATTAACTTTTTGTTTTAATAGTTTAATTTATTTGATCTTCTGTTTGCTATTTTTGGTAAGTAAAAGCTAGTAAACTAAAAGATTATCAATCGTAGTTAATAGTACAAATAATAATAGAAATAAATTAAACAAAAAACTGTCAAAATGTCATGGCCTTCTAATAAAAATACAAACGGTTTCCTGCATTTCCTGCATGTTTTGATAAATTTACGAATATGAGAGAAACTACAACAAATAGGTATAGGAATATTTATAAATAAATTGTAGAGAATTAAATTCCCTTTCGTGTAGGCTAATAAAAAATGCGGTGTTCCATTTAAAATTTTCGACTTTCTCCCCATTGAATATGGAGAAACGGTAATTCAATTTTTGACCACCCTGTATAAGATATTCTGATACAATATATGACAATCTATTTGACAGCATCTGAAGAGTAATCGTGCCAATTTAGAGCTTTTTTGAAAGAACGTTGGCTGGGATATAGGGTTTTAAAGAGCATGGTGAAATTTGCCAAAAAAATCTTAAAATCAAAATAACTCGAAAACGAAAAACGCTAGGTACCAATAACTTTTATGAAAGTCAACGTATTTTTTTACGTACAATTAAAAGGTGTAATAAAAACTATAGCATTCCATTTAAAATAACGAAGTTATGGTCTACTTCCGGTAGAAAACTGTACGAATACTGGAACCTAAAAAAGTTCTAACGAACCAGTTACGTGAGACACCCTGTATAGATAAGTTAAGTTAAATCATCATATTTTTTGTCAAAGTACTTGTGGTCTTGCGTTGTACACGTCATTTCCGGACACCTGTATTATTACTGGAAACCTTGACCTTGATTAATGAAAAGTTTACTTTATATTAAATACTAGAATCACTGCCTCGGTTTCTAAATAATATATTATTATTGAAAACCTTGGCCCACTACCTCGGCAGCATGACTGCCTCGGCTTTTAAGTAAACTATTTGTATTAAATTAAAAAAGTTTACTTTATATTAAGTACTGGAATCACTGCCTCGGCAGCGCAGCTGCCTCGGTTTCTAAATAATATGTTAGTATTGAAAACCTAAAAGTATTGCCTCGGCAGCTTAGCTGCCTCGGTTTCTAAACGATATATTATTATTAAAAACCTTGAACTACTACCTCAGCAGCAGAGCTGCCTCGGTTTCTGAGTAAAATATTTGTATTAAAGAAAATTTACTTTATTTTAATTATTAGAGACTGCCAAAAATCGTAATAAAAAATTTTTCCAAATCGCTCAAAACACATCGAACCCAATTTTATCACCAACTACGAAACGAAATCTCGGTAAATAATTATTATTTTTATCTCACACTAAATCGATAAGATAAACTATATATTATATTCCCATTAAAACCACCATTTAGTTTCTACCCATCTCAATTTCACCATGTTCATTAAAACATTCATTCTAAATTTAATAATTTCCGTTATTTATACCCGAGGTAAGTACCCAAAAATAATTTAAATCAATTCCACATTAAACAAATTTTCCTAAAAGCAAAATGCGTTATCGATATAACAACGGACATCGGATTTCCACAACCAATTCTATTAAACCGACAAAACAAATTTTATTTACCATCAACGGACGGGTTAATAACTTTAGAAGATGGTGATTACATCGGGGTTGGTTGCCCCGGATCGACACTAACGATTAATTTGGTTCCGTTTAACGACGATTTCGCAAAGTTTCTTTGCAAAGGTGGAAAATATTTACTCGAAGGAGGTTCCATCACCAATTTCGAAAGCATATCGTGCCAAAAATCAGTCCAGGCAACCGCAAAAATCCCCCAAGATGATAATAAATGCACTAAATCGTCCCCGATAAATCATATAAAAATCCTAATCGGGTTTCAATTCACTTCGGAATTATTTAAAAAATTTATAACTTTAATAACAACCTGCTTTGATACAATTGAAGAAAAAACGATTTATTCCAGTTTTAATTTAACCAAAAGCAACTTAATGCGACAATTGAACGTGAATCGACCGCTTAAATGGGGCAAAGATTATTTTACGATTCAAAATTTGGACGATTTATACACGCGGAATACTCAAAGAAAAATTATCAACACATTAATCGGATTGGACGAGAATGATCTTCAATACATAAACAACGTTACTTATATAAACCGTGGTCATTTAACGGCGATGGCCGATTTTATTTACGCCACACAACAAAAATCAACGTTCTTCTACGTCAATTCAGCCCCTCAATGGTCTACCTTCAACGGGGGAAATTGGAAAAACCTCGAAGAAGAAATCCGAGATTTCTCTGCAAATAACAAAGATTTAATTATTCACACCGGAACTTACGAAACCTTAACATTACCTTACACCATCGAATTAAAACCCATCAATATATATTTATCGTCTACAATAAACGGTTTTGAGAAAAAAATACCGGTTCCTAAAACATTTTGGAAAATAATTCACGACCCCGATACAGAAACATCTTTAGCATTTATCGGAATTAACAACCCACATCTCACAACAATCGAAGAATCGGATATTTTTTGTAACGATATTTGCGACAAAGTGAATTTCGCTCGATTCGACCGCAAAAACATCACAAACGGTTACATTTTTTGTTGCGAATTGGAGGATTTTAGGAATACGGTGAAGGATTTACCTGATCTTGGGGTTACGGGGCTGTTGAGTAACGGTTGCGAATGTTGTTCTTTAATTAAAACGGGATTTATCGTTTTAATTGCTTCATTTGTAACCGTAACGTTTTAAATTTCCAATTAAAATCTATTTACAACGCATTTTCATTATTAACATAACCTTTAAATTTAAATTGAACTGTCAAAAAAGAAAAAATAAACAGAAACAAACTGAGTTGATCAAAATAAATACTTTTTTATTAAAATTTATTTATTTATTTAATTAAAATTGTTATTATTATTGTTAAATTAATTTAGATTTATTTAGTTTATATTTGATTAATTTTTATTAAAAAAATAAAAAAATTTTTTTTATTTGGAAGCTGATTTGATTAAGTTGATATTTCTTTTTCCCCTAAAACGACATAACCTAAAAAAAAACTAACCTCAAACAAATTGGATATAATTCAAGAATCATCATGTCGCTTAAAAATCGATAATTTTTTTTTAATCGACGGGAAATGACTCAAGTTATTATTATTATTAAATTAATTTAGATTTATTTAATTTATATTTGATTAATTTTTATTAAAAATAATAGAAAAAAAATTTTATTTGGAAGCTGATTTGATTAAGTTGGTATTTCTTTTTCCCCTAAAACGACATAACCTAAAAAAAATCTAACCTCAAACAAATTTGATATAATTCAAGAATCATCATGTCGCTTAAAAATCGATAATTTTTTTTTAATCGACGGGAAATGACTCAAGTTAGCCGTTACAAACAAAGAAAAAATGCGGAAAAGTGTAAAACTTTGCGAAAAATCAATTTAAAGTTTCGACGTGACGTCATCGGCCGTACTAACCATATATTTTCGCAGCACATTTGGTTAAAACGCATATTTTCTATGAAACTTTAACTTATTGTTTCCTGAATGGCAGATACTGTTGGCAAAAGACTAATTATTGCTATCAAAAGATTAAATACTGCTTAAATATTACTATTTCACAAAGTTACCTACTGCTTCTAAAATGCTAGATACTGCAGAAAAAGATCACAACTTACTTAGAAAAGACTAGATACTGTTTTCAAAATAATACCTATTGCTTCCAGAACGCTAAACACTGATGTTAAAGGTTTTGAATTCTTTGGATAGGCGGAATACTGCTTCCAAGACAGTAGTATTGCTTTCAAAGACTTTAATAATTGTTTAGAAAAGAGATATGCTTTCCAGAAAGCTACCTACTGCTTCCAGAATGTTAGATACTGCTGGAAAAGACTAATAACTGCTTGGAAAGAAGAGATATGCTTCCCAAAAAGCTGCCTGATGCTGCCATAATGCTAAATACTATTGGAAAAGATTAATAACTGCTTGGAAAGAAGAGATATGCTTCTAAAAAAGCTACCTGATGCTGCCATAATGCTAAATACTATTGGAAAAGATTAATAACTGCTTGGAAAGAAGAGATATGCTTTCCAAAAAGATACCTAATGCTGCCAGAATGCTAAATACTACTGAAAAAGAGTAATAACTACTTGGAAAGAAGAGATATGCTGCTTCCACAAGACTACTTCCTGCTTTCAGAGCGCTATATACTACTAGAAAAGATTACGACCTGCTTGGAGAAGAAGATATTGTTTGCAGACGCACGGCTAAACCCGAATGTTTCTAGTTCTAGTGTTAGTTCTAGTTTTGCAGTAATATAGTTACTATGTAGAACTAACACTATACCTAGAACTAGAATCATTCGGGTTTAGCCGCACGTCTCTAAAGACGGCTAAACCCGAATTTTTCTAGTTATAGTGTTGGTTCTAGTTTTAAATGTATTTAGCGTTAGATTGTGGTAAATTTTTATTGAAAGAAAAGTAGAACTAACACACAACATAACTTGTATAACTTTGTTAGGTTAGAATCTGTCAAAATGTCAAAATCAGATTTAATTATTTTATGGTAAATGTTGAAATAACCATAATAAGAATCAAAAAGCATTTGATTTGATATCAAACATGACCTATTTAGGTTAAAAAATGAAAACGTTAGGTTAGAAACTGTCAAATGTCAAAATCGAATTTAATTATTTTTTGATAAAAGTTGAAATGGTCGTAATAAGAATCAAAAAGCTTTTAATTTAATACCAAAGATGATCTATTTAGGTTAAAAAATGAATAAGTTAGGTTAGAATCTGTCAAATGTCAAAATCGAATTTAATTATTTTATGATAAATGTTGAAATAATCGTAATAAGAAACAAAAATCTTTTAATTTGATACCAAACATGACCTATTTAGGTTAAAAAATAAAATGTTAGGTTAGAATTCAAAAAAAAAAAAAAAAAAACTGCCATTTTGTTGTTCTTGACGTAATTTTAATATTTTCGTAAATATGTCGAGTTTGGATTCATTTTAAACGATTTTTAATTTCCTTTATGATGCAATTAATTAGAAACGATTTTAAAATATTAAAAAATTAATAACAATTTTTTTTTATTAAAAAAGAATGTTGTTATTTTTTCTATTAAATTCTTAATCTTTATTAAAATCCCTTTAATTTGATACCGAACACAACTAATTTCTGATAAAAATAAAAAAGGTTAGGTTAGGAATCAACAAAAAATCCGCCATTTTGTTTTATTTTGACGTAATTTTTATATTATCGTAAATAGGTGGAGTTTGGACTCATTTTAAAGGATTTTAAATTTCCTTTACGATGTAATAGGTTAGAAACGAAAATTTGTTATGTTAATAATCAACAAAGCTGTCAAACGTCAAAATATGACACTTTAAACATTAAATTTCGAACTGATTCGATTAAGTTGGTACTTTTTTCCCCCAAAACTACAAAATCAAAAAAAAAAAATCTAACCTCAATCAAATTTGAAATTTTAGAATTGGACCTGGATTTCTTTGAAAGACGCCAACAAAATGCCCCAACGACTAAATCATCATCAACAGCAACGGAAAATCAAGAAAATCCTCAAAGCCCCATCGAAATTAGCCCCGAATCGGTGGATAGAATCAAAGTGATATTGTTAGGGGCCCCGATGGTGGGAAAAAGCAGCATAATCCAAGTAAGACAAATTAATGTAATTGACTAAAAATTAATTAATTATTTTTAGCAATTTGTTTGGAATGATTTTACTGAAGAATACATCCCAACGGATAAAAAACTCACTTATTATCCATCTGTGATAACAAACAATCGTCTCTACGAAATAAAAATAACCGATTTACCGGTGATACCGTATTTTCCGGTGAATTCGTTCTACGAATGGACCGATTACAGGTTTTTCGGCTTAAGAAACGCCTCGGCTTACATTTTAGTTTTCGACCTATCAAACCCCGAATCCTTCCAATACGTAAAAACAATTCGAGAACAAATAATGGAAAGTCGGAACGTTTCCAACGTCCCCGTATTAATCGTAGGCAATAAACAAGACCTCATAGTTAATAGCGAAGGGGTTGCTGCTGGTGGTGGTGGGAAACCACCTGCAATTACGAGCGGATCGGACGAGAGGCGTCGAGAAATCGTTAATGTTGTCAAGAAACAGTGGAAATGCACTTACGTTGAGTGTAGCGCCAAATATAATTGGAGAATCGTTACCGTGTTTAAAGAGTTAATTTCGATGATTGATAATTTGGATAGTCGTGATCAAAGCCCTATGTTGGATAACATACAAGATGCTTTAGATAGAAATAAATGTGTTATTATTTGAGGTTAATAATAATGAATGAAGTAATAAAACGCAATAAATTTCGTAAATAACGTTACAGACAATCTAAAAGAATCGATTACTTCTTTTAATCGTTTAAATCATTAAATAAAAGCTGTGCCATTTAGTATTAAGAAAGTTTTTGTGATGACTCAATAAAAATTTCTCCGCAATATATTCATTTTTAATAAATTTGCACCTACCTTTATGTAACCTCGAAACTTGAGCCAATTAATGAGGTTAAGCAGCACACAAGACGATTTAGCAAACCTTAAACAAACAAGATACCTAAATTAATAATAATCATTATCTTTTATTAATAAGTTTAGTGTTATTACCATAAAATCCAACATTAATTAATTGTTTAAAAACACTTTTTGAATAGCAACAACTTAAATCTGCAAATGGCGACTAAATAACAAATGAAAATCGCTTAATTACACCAACTATAAAATTTAAAAAAAAAATAACATAACCTATAAAATTATTTAAGTTGGTATCACTTTTATAATAAATTAATTATTAATTAAAATTGATCATTTTTAATGAATTAATGCAAATAAAAATAACACTAACCTTGATCGGGATCCACACGAAAAATGAGCCGATTTATCTTTTTAGCGGAGATAACCTCTTACTTTATAATATTATGATTAATATTGTTGATTTCATCAAGATGAGTCTGAGATAAAGCAGCACACGAGAGGATTTTGCACAAACCCTAAACACAACAAGAAATCTTAACTATTAAGTGAGGTTAACACCAAAATTTTTAGTGCTACATTTACAATTTTATCTTTTATCGATAAAGTTATTATTTTATAACTTTCTTACCATTAAATCCCAAATTAATTAATCATTTAAAAAGCATTGTTTAAAACACTTTGTGAATAGCAACAACTTAAATCTGCAAATGGCGGCAAAATAACAAATGAAAATCACTAATTACACCAACTTTAAAATTTAAAAAAATAACAACCTATAAAATTATTTAAGTTGGTATCACTTTTATAATAAATTATTAATTATTTTTTGGAAAATTATAAAGCAAAATGTTTTAAATTGATCATTTTTAATGATTTAATACAAAAAAAATAACACTAACCTTGATCGGGATCCACACGAAAAATGAGTTGATTTGTTTCCGATTCATCTTTTTACCGGAGATAACCTCTTACTTTCTAATATTATGATTAATATTGTTGATTTCATTGAGATGAGTCCAACATAAAGCAGCACACGAGAGGGTTCAGTACAAACCTTAAACACAACAACAAACAGTAACTATTAAGTGAGGTTAAGACCAACATTTTTAGTACTACAATTACAATTTTATCTTTTATCAATAAAGTTATTATTTTGCGACTTTCTTACCATTAAATCGCAAATTAATTAATCATTTAATTGTTTAAAAATCATTGTTTAAAACACTTTGTGCATAGCAACAACTTAAAAGTACAAATGGCGACAAAAAAACAAATGAAAATCGCTTAATTATGCCAACAGAAAAATTTAAAATGAAATGAAGCAATACGATTGGTCGAAAAAAATAACATAACCTATAAAAAATTTTGTGTTGTTTTTATGAAATAAATTACCACAAAAAATTATTTATTTATTAATTTGTTGTAAAATTATAAACCAAAATGTTTCAAATTGATCATTTTTAATGATTTAATGCAAAAAAAAATAACACTAACCTTGATTGGGATCCACACTAAAAATGAGCCGATTTGTTTCCGATTCACCTTTTTATGGAGAACCTCTAACTTTCTAATATTATAATTAATATTGTTGATTTAATCGAGATGAGTCCGAAATGAAGCAGCACACCAGAGGATTCATCACAAACCCTAAACACAACAAAAAACCATAACTATTAAGTGAGGTTAACATAAAAATTGTTAGTGCTACAATCACAATTTTATCTTTTATCAATAAAGTTATTATTTTTGCGACTTTCTTACCATAAAATCCTAAATGAATTAATCATTTAATTGTTTAAAAATCATTGTTTAAAACACTTTGTGCATAGCAACAACTTAAAACTGCAAATGGCGACAAAATAACAAACGAAAATCGCTTAATTATGCCAACATAAAATTTAATTTGTAAAATTAAGTCAGTATTAAAAAATAACTCACTTTGCAACAATTTCCCGTTATCTTCAAAATTGCAATTTCTCCTGCCTTGGTCGTAATAAAGACATATTATCCAAAAACGTCTTCCAATTTCTTTCGAAGAATCTTTTGAGGTTATGTTTTCTTTTGTGTAAATAAAACGTAATTGGAGTAAAATTAGATATAAAAATGAATTAATTAAGTTGTGTTTGACTCACCCACATCCATTTTTCCGTCTTCTGTTATTGAAACCCCTAAAATGTTGGAGAAAAACTCCTCAAATTGAAAAAAACCTCAAATTTGAGTTGGTTATAAATTGATGGGGTAGATGGCGCTATATTATAACCTAAAAAAATTAATTTTTTAAATAAATAAATTTGGATAAATGTTCTTAAAAGAACAATTATTCTTTTTTTGGCTTGTAATTATGCGTAAGTTCTCTCTCTTAACGTTTCTTTTATTTTTGTTGCCCCTTTTTTGTTATATCAACATAGTAAAATATACTATTTCCATTCAATTTTGCCTCATTATTTTTTTTAACTTATCTTTTCTTTCATATCATTCGATTTATCACTACTTCTATTTTTGTAATTTTTGCAAATCGCTTTTTTTTGAAAAATTTTTTGTTTTAACTTTTGCAAAATTCTTTTCCTCTTTTTTTTTAATTCTATTATTTGCGGGGCATTATTTTTTTTATGTCATTTCAACTCATCGTTACAATTATAAAAAAGGAAAAAATCAATCGGAAACATAATTCAATTATAATTACATTAATCGCTAATAAATTCCCAAAAAATCACATCAAAAAGACTTTTAAAAATTAATCGTAACTTTCATGAATAAGAATTAAGTGAGTTTTTGGTTTACAATTAACAAAAACATTTAACTATAACACCAAAACTAGAAATATTTGCTTCCTCGATCTTTTTTTATACAACTTTTACTCTATATTTTATTTTATTTTATTTTATATAATTATAGTTATTTTTTTAAATCATTAACACACCTTAACTCTTTTTTATCAAGTTTATCGAATCTTATCGTTAAACGATACCCTTAAGTGTAATAAAAAAAGAAAAAACTATCGTTTCCACGGTCGATCCTCATTTTCGTCATCTTCATCTTCATCATCTTGAAGAAGAGCTTCCTCCGACATTTCTTGAGCGAGCTAAAATCAAATTAATCAATAAAAATTACTCAAACACAATTAAAACTCACCGAAAAATGTGATAAAACATTTTTTTGCTCATCACTTTCAAACCGAGACACCAAAATCTTCGTGGGCCGATGATCCACCGACATATTTTTAAATCGATTCACTTTTTTCGTAACACTTTGTTGATCGACCAAATTATTCTTCGATAATAAATGTCGACTCACAATCGGAGCTGCGAATCTCCTCCCACGAACACCTCCGGGCCCCCTCATCAATTGAGTTTTCGCCTTTAACTCTTGAATCCGCTTTTGCAACTCTGATGTATCAGCTCCTTCTTGTTGCTTCGTTATCAAATCTAACTCAGCGTCCAACATTTCTTTTTGCGCCTCCTCTTTACTCTTTTTAATCGGAGCCGGTGATTTGTGTGAGCCCCCGGTTGTCGATGAATTTGATATCGCTAAAATCGCTTTTCGTATCTCCTCGATGGCTTCTTGCGATTTTTTAATCGTTTCCATTAATTGTTCGCGATGCGGCCCCGCCGGGGTCTTTTCTAACTTACTTATCAACAATTTTTGTTGTTCCAGTTGTTTTTTTAATAATTCTTGTTGGCGTTTTCGGAGATCTTGAGAAAATTTCATCGCCTCTTTACGTTTCTCTTCTTGATTCTTTTTTAATTTCTCTTTGGTCGCTAAAAGTTCTTGATTCTTTTTAATCGCCCCCGTTACCAAAGCTTTCCTTTCTTCTTTAGCTGCAACCAACGCTGCGGAATCAACCGGTTTCTTCGGAGATTGATCCTCAATTTGATGATCATCCTTCACTTCCGCTTTCGGTTGAACCAAATTTAAGACTTTATTCGAATTTGGCGCTACAATTTGTGGGATTCCTAAACGGTCTTTTATCGAGGATCTCGGAGGCACATTTTCTTGTTTACCTACGTTTATTTATAACAATTAGATTAATAAAAAAGGTAACAACACAAATTTTGAGGTTAGTTCACGAATTTTTAGTGACTTTTTTGACGCATAACCTCAAAATATTAATTTATTTATAATTAATAATAGAATGGATGAAATAATAAAGAAACGTACGAGTTAAATTTATTTATAACAATTAGATTAATAAAAAAGAACAAACATTTTGAGATTAGTTTACGAATTTTGAGTGATTTTTTGTTTTGGTGGGTTTCCTATCCTTTTTTCCCCCAAAAAATAAATGTCTCATTTGACACGTAACCTCAAAATATTAATTTAATAAAAAAATTATTAAAAGAATGGATTAAATAATAAAAGAAACGCACGCGTTAGATTTATTTATAATAATTCGATTAATAAAAAAGAACAACAATAATTTTGAGGTTAGTTTACAAATTTTTAGTGATTTTTCTTATTTGAAGAATTTTCTATCCTTTTTTCCCTCAAAAATAAATGTCTCATTTGACACATAACCTCAAAATATTAATTTAATAAAAAAAATTATTAAAATGGATGAAATAATGCACGTGTTCGATTTATTTATAACAATTCGATTAATAAAAAAGAACTAAAAATTTTAAGGATAGTTTAAAAATTTTGAGTGATTTTTTGTTTTGTTGGGTTTCCTATCCTTTTTTCCCCCAAAAAATAAATGTCTCATTTGACAAGTAACCTCAAAACATTAATTTAATAAAAAAATTATTAAAAGAATGGATGAAATAATAAAAGAAATGCACGCGTTCGATTTATTTATAACAAATCAATTAATAAAAAAGAACAACACACATTTTGAGGTTAGTTTACGAATTTTTAGTGATTTTTCTTATTTGAAGAATTTCCTATCATTTTTCCCTCAAAAATAAATGTCTCATTTGACACATAACCTCAAAATATGAATTTAATAAAAAGAATTATTAAAATGGATGAAATAATGCACGCGTTCGATTTATTTATAACAATTTCATTAATAAAAAATAGCAACAAAAATTTTGAGGTTAGTTTAAGAATTTTGAGTGATTTTTTGTTTTGGTGGGTTTCCTACCCTTTTTTCCCCCAAAAAATAAATGTCTCATTTGACACGTAACCTGAAAATATTAATTTAATAAAAAAATTATTAAAAGAATGGATGAAATAATAAAAGAAACGCACGCGTTCGATTTATTTATAACAATTCGATTAATAAAAAAGAACAACAAACATTTTGAGGTTAGTTTACGAATTTTTAGTGATTTTTCTTATTTGAAGAATTTTCTATCCCTTTTTCCCTCAAAAATAAATGTCTCATTTGACACATAACCTCAAAATATTAATTTAATAAAAAAAATTATTAAAATGGATGAAATAATGCACGCGTTCGATTTATTTATAACAATTCGGTTAATAAAAAAGAATAAAACAAATTTTGAGGTTAGTTTAAGAATTTTGAGTGATTTCTTGTTTTGTTGGGTTTCCTATCCTTTTTTCCCCCAAAAAATAAATGGCAAAATTTGACATATAACCTCAAAATGTTAATTTAATAAAAAAAATTATTAAAAGAATGGATCAAATAATAAAAGAACTACACGCGTTCGATTTATTTATAACAAATCGATTATTATAATAAGAAAAAACATCAATTTTGAAGTTAGTTTAAAAATTTGGAGTAATTTTTTGTTTTGTTGGGTTTCCTATCCTTTTTCCCCCAAAAAAAATAAATGTCTCATTTGACAGATAACCTCAAAATATTAATTTAATAAATAAATTCAAATTTAAAATAGAATTATTAAAAGAATGGATGAAATACTAAAAGAAATGTCGACGTTAAATATGGAAGAATCAACTGAAGAAGACAAAATCGTGAAAACAGCCCTAAAAATTTTAAAGAAAACCACGGAGATGATCGAAAAGAATTACACAGACCCAAAACAATTATTTAACGACTTAATCGAGGCTGATTTGAGATATTTCCTAACAACAGACATTGAAATTAATAGGATGGACCTAAAAGGCGTGTTAGAAATGAACGATTTATTTCCGATAGTCACAAAATGCGTTACAAAACTCTTCGAGCACACCAAAAACGAGTTGGGAAAAAAGGATTTGAGCCAAAACGAAATTATCGAGGTTGTAGGAACCATCGCAAACCTCACCTTAATCATGGAAATCTCCAATTTTAAAACCAAAGACATTCAAAAAGAAATCGAAACATTTTTAGTGTTTTTGTTCAGATTCTTTTTCAATTTCGACGAAATAAATAAGGTAACAAAAATAATTTCGTAATAACTTAATCTAATTAATTTGTTTTAGTTTAATTTGTTAATTTTATGTGAAGAGTTGATTTTGGAGTTTACAAACCGCCACGAATCGCGCTTATTCATCCTAATTGAAATTAAAAATCGTTTCGAAACCATCAAAAACACCCAAATTTTAACGAATTTTAACATCAGCGATGTATTAAGTGGGATCGAAATTGAGTGTTTTATGCATTACGCAAACATCTTGCGGGAGGTGCTCGAAAAAAATTGGTTCACCCCCAATGGAAACAACAAAAAAATTCCAAAAGATATTTTAAACGATTTAAATAAAATTTTGATTGAGTTAAAACCGTATTTAACGAGATCGCTTAAATTTGTTTTTGATAATTGTTCAATGTACTTAATTTAATTAATAAATAAATAAACGTACCTTCGTTATTGGCCGAATGCCAAAATACTTTAATAAAGCGGTTATTTAAAACCGCTTCGGTGCTCCGATAGGCGGCGTTGGCTTCTGCATGACTTGAAAACGTCACAATTGCAGCTTCGGGATCGTTTTCGTACCCAACTTGAATATTGAGAATTTTCCCAAACTTGGAAAAATGATTGTTGAGGTGAGTAATGTTGTTTAGACCAGGAGGGACTTTTTTTAATTCCAACGAGCAATTCGCCGGGTTTTTTTGTCGAGGGCCTAAACGGTTGAAATCGAACCCCCTCTTTTTAAACATGCCGTCTTGATCGTGTTCCGGTGGAATTCCAACGTTTCCGCCTCCCATAAAACCGGGTTGTTGGCGCCCGGGGAAATTCCCTTGGAATTGGTGATGATCGTTTTGTTGGTTATCGAGGACCGGAACGGGGATTAATTCGCGCTGCATGTTGGGTTGAGGCGGAAAAGGGTTCATTGGTATCTAAAAAATTAATTTTATTTAGATTGGATATGTTTTACCCGATTTAATTACAACGCGTTAAAGTTAGTAGCTGAAATTAAGCAATTTTGACACCAAAAAGTATCCACAACGCGATGTGGCTATTTAATGATTGCTCACAATCGATTGCTTTCAAACATAGAATGTAGAAAACGAAAACACAAACGAAAATTTGGTGGCAATATTAAAAAACCTAATAGGAAGAGAAGCATTAATCAAATATGAATCAATTAAAACTGTGAAACCGGAAGAGGAGTCTGTAGTTCCTATAGTCTGCCTATATACTGCTTCATATAGTCTAAAAACTGCTTGTAGAAGGCTAAATACTGTTTGCAAAAGACTAAAAACTGATTACAGAAGATAGATACTGCCTAAAGAAGCCTAATTATTGCTTGAGATAGTATAGAAACTGCTTGCAAAAGATTAAATATTGTTGGCAGAAGATACGCACTGCCCATAGAAAGCTATGTGCTGCTTGAAATAGTCTCAAAATTTCTTGCAGAAGTTTAAATATTGTTGGCAGAAGACAGATACCACATATGGATAACTAAACAGTATTTTTAGAAGAGTAAAAATTAATTGCAGAAGACAGATACTGCTTATAGAAGAATAGATATTGCTTCAAATGGACTAAAAACTGATTATGTCTTCAGATTCAATACTGCTACAAAAAAATAGGCATTGTTGTAAATAATCAAACTATACTTGAAAGAGAATAACCACTATTTTCAGAAATCTAGCAGCGTTGTAACTCTTTCAGGTTTAAAATGTCAACGTCAATTTTAACACATTTGTAATCTTCATTAAAAATCCTTTAAAATGAGTACAAACACGACACATTTATCTTCAATATTAATGAAGTTATGGTCAACTTCCGGTTAGAAATGTCAACATCAATTTTGACATATTCTTAATTTTTATAAAATGTCTTAAAATTTGTCAAAAACAAAAATATAATAAAATAAAATCTAAAATTAAGGTTGGTATTAATATTTAAAAATTAAATTGCTATCTTCATTGTTGCTAACTTCGGGTTTAATGTTTTTTTTATTCTAACTTTTTTGTTTTTTCAGATAAGTGCGTCGTGTTTGGACTCATTTTAAAGGTTATTTTATAAAGATTACGATTTTATTATTATATTCGTAATCTTAACCTCAAAAAACAAAAAAATTAGAATAAAAAATATTAAACACGATGTTGGCAACAATGATGCTAGAACATAATTTTTAAATATTAATACCAACCTTAATTTTTGACATTTTTTCTTATATTTTCGGTTTTTATGAATAATATTTATTTTAAAAGACATTTTGTTAAAATTACGAATATATCTAAATTGACGTTGACATTTCTTAATGATGATGACATATACGTCAAAATTGGGGTTGACATTTCAAATCTAAGGTTGAAAACTTCATGGTGATAATTTCAACTTTAATTTTGATATATATGTACTCGTAATCCTTGTTAAATAACCATTCAAATCAGTTGGAATAAAAAGTATTAAACCAGAAGTTGGCAACAATGAAGTTAGCAACATAATTTTTAAATATTAATACCAACCTTAATTTTTGACATTTTTTCTTATATTTTCATTTATGTGATAAATTTTAAAACATTTTATAAATATTAACAATATGTCAAAATGACATTGACATTTCAAACCGGAAGTTAACTTCATTAATATTAAAGATAAATATGTCGTGTTTGTACTCATTTTAAAGCATTTTTAATGTAGATTACAAATATGTCAAAATTGAGGTTGACATTTTAAACCTGAAGTTTGTTATCATATAATCAAGAACTTCATGGTGTTCTTTCATGCTTAAAAACACTACTACTATACTTTTTGGGTTCCACAACGCGTTTTAGTTACTTTTTGGTGTACACAACTTGTAAAATTGCTATTAAGTAAACCTAAATACCCTCAATGTGTTGTAAGTAATAATTAATAAGTTGTAGGTAAAAAGGAATTTGGATTTTGGGGGTAATAAACATAACAAATTGATTAAATTACGTACTCTTGGTCCTAACATGGGGCGAGGTCCTCGAAATCCACGATGAAAAATTTGTGGGGCTTGTGGATTATATTCCGAGGGTAAATGCCCCCCTCTTGGCGGCATTCCATGCATCATAGGATGCGAAGGTGGCATAACCGGGGGTAATAACCCCCCCGGGGCGACATCGACAGGTACAGGAGCCCCATTAGGGGCGTAAGTTGTTAAAACTGAAGATAAGGTGCTATCTTCGAGCACTACGGGGTCAACCCCGTGATCAAAGGGACACATTTCCCCCCGCATACAATACCCTTTCTCATCATAATCCCTACATCGTCTTTTTCGCTCAACCCCGCCTTGTTGCACCACCACCGATTGAATACTTTGCGTGGTGCTATTTAATCGCAAATCCATATCGCCATGATTCGAATCTTGAGTCGGGGTCCCCGCCCCTGAATGCGAATCTTTTAGATTTAAAACTGTCTCTTTGCGATCTTTCGATCTCGATCTGCTGCGACTGTTTGATCTGGGGGGTGATCGATTTCGATATCGACCTCGATAATTATGACGAGGACTTCTAGATCGCGAGCGAATTCGCCCCCCTAAAGACATGGAGCGAGATCTTCGCCTATCGTAGCGTCTCGGGGGCGATTTATTCCTCCATGGACGCGCTCTGTCGCGTTTTTCTCGGTCTCTATCGCGGGATTTATCCCTAGAACGAGATCGACGCACTCTATCCCAAGATCGCGATCTCGAGCGGTTCCTCGACAAACTCCGATGCCTCGAACGCCGCCTCGGCTTCTCTTCTTTCTCCGATTCGCTTTTTCTTTTTAAATCGGAAGGTCTCGCGGGGGGTTTCTCAATTATATTCGTCGTCGACCCGTTTATCGTTTCGTTTAAATTTGGGAGCTCACTCACTGGGATGATCGGCTTGATTTCTTTAATCGGCTGGATCTTTAGGGGGGAATTTCCCGACTCGGGTTTCGCCGCGATTATGTTTGGATTGGGGGGGTTCGCGTTCGGAATCACCGACTCCATGTATTCGCGATTATCGAGCGTTTTAAATAGGAGATTTACGAAATTTATCGTCTCACCTTGAAGAAACACTTCTAATTGAGATATCATACTGTCTCGGAGGGCTTCTAAGCTTTTATCTTTCTTCACTAAGGCGATTACGTAATTTGCCAATGCACTCGGATCCGCCTCGCACCTTATAAATCAAAAATTTGATCAAAAATATGATTTTTAAAAATTAGTGAGGTTATGTTTGATGACCTCAATTAAAAACGAAAAATGATTTAAACAAAAAATGTGGTTAATTAATGATTATAATAAATAAAGTGATTATTGCCGATTTAAATGATTTTTGATAAAAATTTGGGTTTAAATCCGAAATTTTGAGAAAATAATGCTAAAATATGGAGATGGCTTACATTGGCTTCAGAACAGCGGTTAACCATGTTTTGAAAGCGTCCGGGTCCTGTATAAACATATTTTCTTGTTCGTTTCGGTTTTTAATCGCCTTGTGAAGGAGTTTCGAGCGATTTCCACGGGAAATTAGAAGAAAATCCACTCAAAATAACGCGGAAAATACGCAATTGATCACGCATTTACTGGATATGGTAATGGCAGCGGTACCAACATCGCGGGAGTTAACCCACTAAAAATAGAAAGAACCAACGTGAAGATGTCTATTTATAAATAAATAAAATAAATAAATTAATTAATTAAAAACGAATTTACCATTATTAATAAATCAAATCGATTAAAACAATTATTTTTTAATAAAAATTGACATTAAAAAAATAAATTAATTTAAAACTGTCACGTTACCAACATAAAAAAAAATTAAATGATAATTATGTAATTGCAAAATCGAATTAATTTCTTTTAATTATTCATTAAAAAATCCCTCATTAATCATTACGAATATAAAAACCTTGAATGTTTGTAAATAAAGTTGGTGAAATCGCGATAATCGAGGAGGCATCACATCACAACATTAAAAAAATATATATGTGTACATCACTGTCACGCGAAAATCACATTTTAGCCATGAAAAATTAGCTCAAATTTGTTGTATATGTGTGTAATTTGTCTGAATCAATAAAATGGGTATCGTTCACGCCAAGGTAAGCCCCCAATCTCAAAAATTCCATCAAAATCTCCACCCGGTTTATGACATAACCTCACTTTTTAGGATAACTCGGACCTTAAAATGCCCCAATTCGGCATTCCAAAAGCCGAAATTAATTACGACGAAATCGAAGAGTCGCGATCTATACCATTAGATGTACCTGTAAGATATTTTTTATTATAATCATAAATTAAAAAAAAAAATGGATTCTAACCTCACTTTTAGGTCCGTGTGGACACAATAAGTATTAATGGATTAAGTAGAACTAAAGATGATATTGTAGAGGACGCAACGAAAGATATATTTAAATCAAAAAATTTCCGGGAGGTTCTTTATAATGCGCATAAAGTAATAATTTAAAAATAAAATTAAGTGAGGTTATGTTTCAAATTTATTTTTTTAGGCGAGGCTTAAATTGGAAACTTTAAGTTGTTTTCGCAACATCGCGGTACATATTGATGTTAGTCGAGGTCCCAAAGCAACACCCGAAGGATTAGATGTAAATAAATCAAAAATTAATTCTTAATTACTTAAAAAAAAAAAAATTTTAGGTTACGTTTCACGTAAAAGAATTAAAACGAGTCGTTGGGGGTGTTAACACCGAAGTGGGTAACAACGAAGGATCCGTAGTTGTTGGATTACGCGTCCCAAACGCGTTTGGACGCGGGGAAAGAGTCTTCGTTGAGTACAGTTATGGTTCCCGGAAATCAAATAATTTTAGTGTGGGGGCTGTAAAACCGTTAATGGGGAAGTACGAGCCGAAGATATCAGCGAGTGTTTTTCAAAACGTCGCGGAGGTTGCCGCTTCGGGTTATAAAGAGCTTGAACGAGGATTTGCAGTTGATTTTGGGCTCTTATCGTTTGCTAATGTTCGTCATAACTTTCAATATAAGGGTTCGACGAGGGAATTGGGGGTTTTGTCGAAATCTTCGTCGTTTGAAGTTCGAGAGAATTCTGGTCCAACTTTAAAATCGGCCCTCGCGCATATTCTTACGGTGGATTTGAGGGATGATTTAATTTTCCCAGCTTGTGGAACTCTGTTTCAGTTAAATACGGAATTCGCTGGGATTGGGGGAAATATTGGGTTTTTAAAAAACGATCTTTACGTTCAATCGAATATTAGTATTTTGAAGGATGTTGTAATTCAAGGTAATAATTTTTTTTTGTTTGTTTAAAATTAATTTCAAAAAAAATATGACGTTTCATAAAATTGACATTTAATTTTGACAAATTGATGTGAAGTTGGCCACAGTTGGTGACAATGAATGAACTTTATTCAAAAATTTATTTAAAAAAGTAAATTTATGGAATCAATTTTAATAGTAGTCATGGACAAAGTATAGTATTCTACTCACATATAATGGACTATTATTCATTCAGCCCTCATTATACTCATATCTCGTCGTTGTAACTATGCAACCAATATCACACTATTTATTTTATAATACGCAATTTGCGTATTGCAATACCAGTACTGTGATGTTGGTTGCATACTTGTAATGATGACGTCGGGTACGATAATTAATTAACACACTGTATGCTCCTACAGTGATACAATAAAGTCTACATACAGCCCCGATAATGATAATATGTCAGCTCCCAAAATGTAATTCAATGAAATTTTTTAACAAAACATGTAAGAAGTCCATATTATTTCCATATTTTACATAACTATATAAATTTTAGCCGTCTTTAGAGACGGTGGCTAAACCTAAATGTTTCTAGGTCTAGTGACAGTGCAAGTGTAAAACTAGAACTAACTCTAGACCTACAACTAGAAAGTATCTAAGTTCTAGGTTGCTCAGAACGATTGAAAACTGCACCAACATTGTGCAAAATTGCTTTATAAGGTAGCAAAATTTTTCAAAATGTTTCGAAATAGGTTCATAGCCATCTCATGTTATTCAAAATCATTGAAAACTGGCTGAGCATAATTTTATACTTGTCTAAATCATTAACAACTAGTTTTTACACAATCAGTGTTGTTCAAAATGACTAAAAACTAGTTAATAGTCATTAAAAACTTGTCTAAATGTATAAGGACTAGTTTATAGCAAATCTGGGTTGCTCAGAATGATTGAAAATTGCACCAACATTGTCTAAAATTGGTTTATAAGGTAGCAAAATTGTTCAAAATGATTGGAAATAACTTCATAGCCATCTTATGTTATACAAAATCATTGAAAAGTGGCTGAGCATAATTTTATACTTGTCTAAATCATTAACAATTAGTTTTTACACAATCAGTGTTGCTCAAAATGACTAAAAACTAGTTAATAGTCATTAAAAACTTGTCTAAATGTATAAGGACTAATTTATAGCAAGTCCAGGTTGCTCAGAATGACTGAAAATTGCATCAACATTGTCCAAAATTGCTTTATAAGGTAGCAAAATGTTTGAAAATAGGTTTATAGCTATCTCATGTTATTTAAAATCATTGAAAATTGATTGAGCATAATTTTATACTTGTCTAAATGATTAACAACTAGTTTTTAAACAATCCATGTTGCTCAAAATGACTGAAAATTAGTTGTTAGTCATTAAAAACTTGTCTAAATGTATAAGGACTAGTTTATAGCAAGTCCAGGTTGCTCAGAATGATTGAAAACTGCATCAACATTGTCTAAAATTGGTTTATAAGGTAGCAAAATTGTTCAAAATGATTGGAAATAACTTCATAGCCATCTTATGTTATTCAAAATCATTGAAAAGTGGCTGAGCATAATTTTATACTTGTCTAAATCATTAACAACTAGTTTTTACACAATCAGTGTTGCTCAAAATGACTAAAAACTAGTTAATAGTCATTAAAAACTTGTCTAAATGTATAAGGACTAGTTTATAGCAAGTTTAGGTTGCCCAGAATAACTGAAAACTGCACCAACATTGTCCAAAATTGCTTTATAAGGTAGCAAAATGTTTCGAACTAGGTTCATAGCTATCTCATGTTATTCAAAATCATTGAAAATTGGTTGAGCATAATTTTATACTTGTCTAAATGATTAACAACTAGTTTTTAAACAATCCATGTTGCTCAAAATGACTGAAAACTAGTTGATAATCATTAAAAACTTCTCTACATGTATAAGGACTAGTTTATAGCAAGTTTAGGTTGCCCAGAATAACTGAAAACTGCACCAACATTGTCCAAAATTGCTTTATAAGGTAGCAAAATGTTTCGAACTAGGTTCATAGCTATCTCATATTATTCAAAATCATTGAAAATTGATTGAGCATAATTTTATACTTGTCTAAATGATTAACAACTAGTTTTTAAACAATCTATGTTGCTCAAAATGACTGAAAATTAGTTGATAGTCATTAAAAACTTGTCTAAATGTATAAGGACTAGTTTATAGCAAGTCCAGGTTGCTCAGAATGACTGAAAACTACATCAACATTGTCAAAAATTGGTTTATAAGGTAGCAAAATTGTTCAAAATGATTAGAAATAAGTTGTAAGTGGTAAGTAACGCTAGTTAGCATAAAATATCACTATGTTGTATATTTGTATTGCACTAAAACTAGAACTAACACAAGACCTAGAACTAGAATCATTCGGGTTTAGCCGTCTTGAGAGACGTGCGGCTAAATCCGAATGTTTCTAGTTCTAGATCTAGTGTTAGTTCTAGTTATGCACTATCACTCGTTTAAAAAATTCATTAAATTACATTTCAGGAGCTGAGATATTATCATTTTCTGGAATGTATATAGACTTTATTTTAAATAATAATATACTATTATTAATTATTTAATTTTAGGAACTCTTGGTGGTGGATTTTTAAAAGGAATTGGTAATNATTGAAAACTGCACCAACATTGTCTAAAATTGGTTTATAAGGTAGCAAAATTGTTTAAAATGATTGGAAATAACTTCATAGCCATCTCATGTTATTCACAATCATTGAAAAGTGGCTGAGCATAATTTTATACTTGTCTAAATTATTAACAACTAGTTTTTACACAATCAGTATTGCTCAAAATGATTAAAAACTAGTTAATAGTCATTAAAAACTTGTCTAAATGTATAAGGACTAGTTTATAGCAAGTCCAGGTTGCTCAGAATGAGTGAAAATTGCACCAACATTATCTAAAATTGGTTTATAAGGTAGCAAAATTGTTCAAAATGATTGGAAATAAGTTGACAGCCATCTCATGTTTTTCCAAATCATTAAAAACTGGTTGAGCATAATTTTATACTTGTCTAAATGATTAACAACTAGTTTTTAGACAATCCATGTTGCTCAAAATGACTGAAAACTATTTGATAGTCATTAAAAACTTGTCTAAATGTATAAGGATTAGTTTATAGCAAGTCCAGGTTGCTCAGAATGACTGAAAATTGCACCAACATTGTCCAAAATTGCTTTATAAGGTAGCAAAATGTTTAAAAATAGGTTTATAGCTATGTCATGTTATTTAAAATCATTGAAAATTGGTTGAGCATAATTTTATACTTGTTTAAATGATTAACAAATAGTTTTTAAACAATCCATGTTGCTCAAAATGACTGAAAACTAGTTGGTGGTCATTAAAAACTTGTCTAAATGTATAAGGACTAGTTTATAGCAAGTCCAGGTTGCTCAGAACGATTGAAAACTGCACCAACATTGTCTAAAATTGGTTTATAAGGTAGCAAAATTGTTCAAAATGATTGGAAATAAGTTGACAGCCATCTTATGTTTTTCCAAATCATTAAAAACTGGTTGAGCATAATTTTATACTTGTTTAAATGATTAACAACTAGTTTTTAGACAATCCATGTTGCTCAAAATGACTGAAAACTGCTTGATAGTCATTAAAAACTTGTCTAAATGTATAAGGATTAGTTTATAGCAAGTCCAGGTTGCTCAGAATGACTGAAAATTGCACCAACATTGTCCAAAATTGCTTTATAAGGTAGCAAAATGTTTCGAAATAGGTTCATAGCTATCTCATGTTATTCAAAATAATTGAAAATTGGTTGAGCATAATTTTATACTTGTTTAAATGATTAACAAATAATTTTTAAACAATCCATGTTGCTCAAAATGGCTAAAAATTAGTTGATAGTCATTAAAAACTTGTCTAAATGAATAGGGACTAGTTTATAGCAAGTCCAAGTGCACCTAGTTTTGCACTGGCACTAGAACTAACACAAGACCTAGAACTAGAATCATTCGGGTTTAGCCGTCTTGAGAGACTTGCGGCTAAATCCGAATGTTTCTAGTTCTAGATCTAGTGTTAGTTCTATTTTTGCACTGTCACTAGAACTAACACAAGACCTAGAACTAGAATAATTCAGGTTTAGCAGTCTTGAGAGAGGTGCGGCTAAATCCGAATGTTTCTAATTCTAGATCTAGTGTTAGTTCTAGTTATGCACTAACACTCGTTTAAAAAATTCATTAAATTACATTTCAGGAGCTGAGATATTATCATTTTCTGGAATGTATATAGACTTTATTTTAAATAATAATATACTATTATTAATTATTTAATTTTAGGAACTCTTGGTGGTGGATTTTTAAAAGGAATTGGTAATGATATGCAAATAGGAATGAGCGATATGTTCTTTTTGGGGGGACCTTTGGATTTGCGAGGATTTCAAATGAGAGGAATTGGTCCGAGAGCTGATGGGGATGCTTTAGGAGCCGAGATGTATTGGTCCGCCGGGTTGCATTTGTTCACTCCATTACCTTTCCGACCGGGTAAAGGTGGATTTGGAGACATTTTCCGCACGCATTTCTTCGTGAATGCGGGAAATGTGGCGACTGAGAAATCCGAGGAGAAATATGTCGATCAAATGAGCAAAAACGTCCGATTATCGACTGGATTGGGAATCGCGGTCCGCTTGGGGCAGATGGCCCGAGTTGAAATCAACTATTGTTTTCCAATTAAGTTTAGCGATGGGGACCAAACCCAACCGGGGGTACAATTCGGTATCGGATTGCAATTTTCTTAAAATGAAAAAATAAGTGCTGTTATGTAGTTAGAAACTTGTTTTAAATAATATAAACCAATAAATTAAATTAAAAATAAGCTGGAGTTTAAATTTATTAATTAAGTCCCATATTTATTTAGATTTTTAAATTAATTTGTAATGAATGTGAACTCTTGGAAGTGAACCAGTTTCTTGGAGAGCGTGAAAAGTTGTACTAAAAGTTTGGAAAGATTAGAAACTGGTGCTAAAACATTACTAATTGCTTCCAGAATACTAGATACTGCAGGAAAAGACTACTATCTACTTGGAAACGCGATATACTGCCTCTAAAAGATTACTTACTGCTTTCAGAAGACAAGATATTGCTGGCAAANCAACTAGTTTTTACACAATCAGTATTGCTCAAAATGATTAAAAACCAGTTAATAGTCATTAAAAACTTGTCTAAATGTATAAGGATTAGTTTATAGCAAGTCCAGGTTGCTCAGAATGACTGAAAATTGCACCAACATTGTCCAAAATTGCTTTATAAGGTAGCAAAATGTTTCGAAATAGGTTCATAGCTATCTCATGTTATTCAAAATAATTGAAAATTGGTTGAGCATAATTTTATACTTGTTTAAATGATTAACAAATAATTTTTAAACAATCCATGTTGCTCAAAATGGCTAAAAATTAGTTGATAGTCATTAAAAACTTGTCTAAATGAATAGGGACTAGTTTATAGCAAGTCCAAGTGCACCTAGTTTTGCACTGGCACTAGAACTAACACAAGACCTAGAACTAGAATCATTCGGGTTTAGCCGTCTTGAGAGACTTGCGGCTAAATCCGAATGTTTCTAGTTCTAGATCTAGTGTTAGTTCTATTTTTGCACTGTCACTAGAACTAACACAAGACCTAGAACTAGAATAATTCAGGTTTAGCAGTCTTGAGAGAGGTGCGGCTAAATCCGAATGTTTCTAATTCTAGATCTAGTGTTAGTTCTAGTTATGCACTAACACTCGTTTAAAAAATTCATTAAATTACATTTCAGGAGCTGAGATATTATCATTTTCTGGAATGTATATAGACTTTATTTTAAATAATAATATACTATTATTAATTATTTAATTTTAGGAACTCTTGGTGGTGGATTTTTAAAAGGAATTGGTAATGATATGCAAATAGGAATGAGCGATATGTTCTTTTTGGGGGGACCTTTGGATTTGCGAGGATTTCAAATGAGAGGAATTGGTCCGAGAGCTGATGGGGATGCTTTAGGAGCCGAAATGTATTGGTCCGCCGGGTTGCATTTGTTCACTCCATTACCTTTCCGGCCGGGTAAAGGTGGATTTGGAGACATTTTCCGCACGCATTTCTTCGTGAATGCGGGAAATGTGGCGACTGAGAAATCCGAGGAGAAATATGTCGATCAAATGAGCAAAAACGTCCGATTATCGACTGGATTGGGAATCGCGGTCCGCTTGGGGCAGATGGCCCGAGTTGAAATCAACTATTGTTTTCCAATTAAGTTTAGCGATGGGGACCAAACCCAACCGGGGGTACAATTCGGTATCGGATTGCAATTTTCTTAAAATGAAAAAATAAGTGCTGTTATGTAGTTAGAAACTTGTTTTAAATAATATAAACCAATAAATTAAATTAAAAATAAACTGGAGTTTAAATTTATTAACTAAGTCCCACATTTATTTAGATTTTTAAATTAATTTGTAATGAATGTGAACTCTTGGAAGTGAACCAGTTTCTTGGAGAGCGTGAAAAGTTGTACTAAAAGTTTGGAAAGATTAGAAACTGGTGCTAAAACATTACTAATTGCTTCCAGAATACTAGATACTGCAGGAAAAGACTACTATCTACTTGGAAACGCGATATACTGCCTCTAAAAGATTACTTACTGCTTTCAGAAGACAAGATATTGCTGGCAAAAGACTAATAACTGCTTGAAAAGAGGAGATATTGAATCCAAATGAATACCTACTGCTTGCAGAATGCTAGAAACTACTAGAAAACACTACTACCTGCTTGGAGACGCGGGATAATGCTTCCCAAAGTCTACTTACTGGCTGAGATTACTAAAAAATACCCACAAAGTCCTTGGAGGTTACAAAAAATGGCGACCGACGTCTTCGAAGTCGGCCGAGATTACTAAAAGATAGCCACAAAGTTTTTGTAATACAGAAATACCTTCCAATAGTTAGATACTGCTGACAAAAGACTAACAATTGCTGGGAAAGAGGAGATACTGATTCTAAAAAATTACCTACTGCTTCCAGAAGGCTAAATACTGCTGGAGTAGACTACTTACTGCTTTCAGAAGGCAATATATTGCTAGCAAAAGACTAATAACTGCTTGAATAAAGTAGATACTACTTTCAAAATGCTAGATACTGCTTAAAAAGACTATAGGCTGTTTGGTGGAGACTAGATATTGTTGATAAAAGACCAATAACTGCTTGGAAAGAAGAGATATTCCACCAATACTGCTTGCAGAATACTAGATGCTACTGGAAAACATTACTATTTACTTGGAAAGGCGAAATAATGCTTCCCACAGACTACTTACTGCTTTCAGAAGATAAATACAGCTGGCAGAGCACTACTAATCGCTTGGAAAGAGGATATACTGTTTCCCAAAGGTATTTACTGCTTCCAAAATGCTAGATACTGTTGGAAAAAACTACTGCTTACTTGCAAAGTCAAAATAATGCTTCCAAAAGAGTACTTATTACTTCTAGAACGCTACATACTGTTGGAAAAAGACTAATAACTCTTTAATAAGAGAATATACTATTTCTAAACGATACCTACTGCTTCCAAAATGCTATATGCTGCTGCTAAAAGACTATTAAATGTTTGGAGAAGATTCCACATTGGTACTAAACAACTACTAAGTACTTGAAGGATACTTACTGTATGCACAAGACTTGATATTGCATTTAAAAAATTACTTACTGGTTGCAGAACATTACACTACAACTTCCCTTAGAAAATTCTGAATTTTATTATAAATACATCGTCGGCGATGAACCTCATTTTTGGTTTAATGGCTTTATTAATAAGCAAAATACGCGTTGTATTGATATTTATTTTATTGTATTCCTTGTATGGTCAGCAACCTCGTTAAAGATGTCCCATTAAGGCACTGTGTTAAGTATAACTGGATAAAACGTATATTCGAAAATTTGCTTTCAAGTGTTTTTAAACATTACATACAGTTGGCAAGACTGCTAACTCCTTAAAGAAGCCTAAATACTAATGGAAGACTAGATATTGCTGTTAAAAACGAGTTATTACTTGCACAAGACTATATATTATTGCTAATAGACTACTTATTGCTTGTTTTTAATTGATTTGAAGTCGCCCAAAGGTTAAAAAAATAGCCACAAAGTCCTTGAAGGAATGATTTTGGAAGAGGAAGATTTTTTTTATAATTAAATTCTTATTTTTTTTTTTTTTGAGTTGATTTTATAATTATAAAAATAGCGACGAAAACAAATCAACTATTGAAAGTAAACATCCAGTGTAAACACTCGCACACTTTTTCCCCATCCTTCCAATTTCCTCTGCTAATAAAAGCTTATCTTGGAAATTTAAAGTTGGATCGAATTCATTTAACACAGAAACGTTTTTGTACTCGATCGACGGTCTATTAAAGAAAAAATCTTTAATAAATACCTTAATTTGAAGAAAACTTACGTCAAAATATGATGCGCAATCCGTTCTAAAACACTTTCTTGATCTTCGATATGAAACGGGGTCCGAGATACCTCACAAATCGATCTTAACAAACATTCTTCTCCGTTTAATCCAACACTAAAACGATTTAATGAATTATTACGATAATTATTTGATAAAAAATTAATTACTTTTCAAGTATCCCTATGATGTATCCATACATTGTATCTCGAGATATATCGAAGCCTTGGTTCGATCTTGCGTAAGTTACCACTTGAAAATTGGTTAAATTATAAGGCAAATCGAAGTTGTTTTGGATTCCGGGGCTGATTACGATCGTTCTGTTTGGTAAAATAACAGGAACGGACATTCCGATTGTTAACTAGAAAGAAAAATTAAATTTATTAATAAAAATAAGTTTAGTTCGCGTCAAAAAATAAAATTGACAGGTTTACTTAACCTCAAAAAAAATTGACATGTTATACAACCTCAAAAAAAAAAAAAAAATTGAGAAGTTACTTAACCTCAAAAAATAAAATTAATTTTTGGAATTTAATGTAAATTAATTAATTAATTATTAATAAAAGATGAATTAAGTTTAATATTGGAAGATTAAGAAGAAAATTAAATGATTATTGACAATAAAAAACATAACCTCAAAAAAAATGTCAAAATCGGTAAGTTTAAACAAAATCCTTTGACATTAATTAATTGGCAGATTAAAAAATGTCACAAACGCTACAAAAGCTGTTAAAAAATTCATCTCGAAAACGATGGTTAACAACAATCGGAGCAATCTCAGGAGTATTAGGGACCGCAATATACATTTTAGATAAATCGGTGAAAGCTGCCGATTTAGAACTCCACCCGGCTCATTACCCCTGGTACCACAACGGATTATTACGATCCTTAGACCACGCGAGCATACGAAGAGGTTACCAAGTGTACAAACAAGTATGTGCTTCTTGTCATTCGTTAAAACACGTCGCTTATCGCGATTTAATTAACGTATCGCACACGGAGCACGAAGCGAAAGAAGAAGCGGAAGCTGTTACGATTAAAGATGGCCCCGATGAAACCGGGGAGATGTTCGAGCGCCCCGGAAAGCTCTCCGATTACATCCCCGGCCCATACAGAAACGAAGAAGAAGCTAGATTTGCAAATAACGGAGCGTTCCCCCCCGATTTAAGTTACATAATCCCCGGAAGACACAACGGGGAGAATTACGTGTTTTCGTTACTTTTGGGATACATGGATCCCCCCGCTGGAATTGTTTTACGAGAGGGCCAAAATTATAACCCTTATTTCACCGGGGGAGCTTTATCGATGGCACAAACGATTTTCGACGAAGTCGTTGATTACGAAGATGGCACCCCAGCCACTGCCAGTCAAGTCGCTAAGGATGTTGTTACCTTTTTAAAATGGACCTCGGAACCCGAACACGATGATCGTAAAAGGATGTTGATACGAACCGTTGCGATTTTTGGGGTGCTAATCGCCTCTTTTTATTATATTTTGATGTTTAAGTGGTCCACGTTAAAGACGAGAACGATTTTTTTTAACCCGAAAAACCCCAAAAGGAAATGTAAATAAATAAAGATTTGGAAAATAAAAATTTGGTTTTTTTTACCTGTAACACGGTGTATCTGGGAAATAATAGCAAAAATTTATCGAATCCTAAATTGTAATCGCACGAAATGCTTTGAATTATTGTTAATAAAAGGAGTTGATGTAACGGGTTCATTTTGGTAACTAAATTTTTTTTGGAGAAACAAACCTAACGGTTTTTTTATTGACTTTAATGGTTATATAGATTAAAAATAGTCTCACCTGGAGAAACGTTCCCTCGGGGAACAATAAATAACCGTATAATCGCTTAAAACACATTAAAATGAATAAAATGAGTTTTTGCATTTTGTACGATGCAAATTCGAGTTGAGCGCAACATAACGGATGAGATGCACAAAGAAAGACGTTTTGACCTTAATTTGCTATCCGTTAAGCTTTTGTAATAGTTTATTTGCTCTAAAATGAGTTTTAAAAAATTCTAACAAAAAAAATTTTTTTTTTGAGGTTATGTGTCAAAAAATTTGACATCTGTCACTTTGTAAATTAATATAATTTATTTTAATTAATATTTAAGATTTGAAGAATTTAGGCAAAGAGAAGGTTAAAGTGTAAATAAATAACTAAGATGATTATTGTGTTACCATAAAAGCAGTAAATTAAAAAAAGGAACCAAATGTCAGGCGTACCAACCCAAACAAAATCGAAGTTTTCGGGTAGAAATTCGTAATATTCGCCCTTCCTTTGACATTAACGATATTAAATCTGCGATTGAGGTCCTTGGACATAAAGTTAATGGCGAATCAAATATACGTTGTGGAAGCACTAAAAATTGCCCAAAATTGTCCAAAAAATGGACATCACAAGTAATAACACCTATTGCTTCTAGAATGCTAGAAACTTCTTAAAAATACTATGGGCTGCTTGGAGAAGACCAGATACTACTGGAAAAAACTAAGATACTGTTGGAAAAGACTACTATCTACTTGAAAAGGCGATATGTTACCTCTAAAAGACTATTTACTGCTTTTAAGTGACAACATACTGCTGCCAAAAGACTGATAACTGCTTGAAATGAAGAAATACTGTTTCCAAAAGTTGCTTAATGCTTCCAGAAAGCTAGAAACTGCTTAAAAAGGCTATAGGTTGCTTGGACAAGACTAGATATTACTGGAAAAACTGAAAACACTGATTCCAAAAATTATCTACTACTTTCTGAACGCTAGATACTGTTGGAAAAGACTACTATCTACTTGGAAAGGCAATATACTGCCTCTAAAAGACTACTTACTGATGTCAAATGACAAGATACTGCTGCCAAAAGACTAATAACTGCTTGAAAAGAGAAGATACTGTTTCCAAAAGTTATCTATTGCATCCAGAATGATAGATACTGGTTAAATAGACTATGAGCTGCTTGAAGAAGACTAAATACTGCTGGTACAAGATTAATAACTGCTTTGAAAGAGGAGATATTGTAGCCAAATGAATGCCTACTGCTTGCAGAATACTAGATACTGCTGGAAAAGACTGCTATCTACTAGGAAATACTATTTGCTGCCTCTAAAATACTACTTACTATTTTCAGAAGACAAGATATTGCTGACAAGACACTAATAACTGCTTGAAAAGAGGAACACTGTATTCAAAAGTTACCTCTTGCTTCCAAAATGCTAGATATTGGTTAATAAGACTATAGACTGCTTGAAAAAGACTACATACTGCTGGCAAAAGACTAACAATTGCTTGGAAAGAGGAGATAGATTCTAAAAAATTATCTACTGCTTCCAGAACGGTATATACTGCTGTAAAACACTACTATCTACTTGCAAAGGAGAGATAATGCTTGCCAAAGACTTAAAAAAGGGACGGCCAACGTCTTCGAAGTCGGCCGAGATTACTAAAAGATAGCCACAAGTTCTTGAGATTCAGAAATATCTTGCAATAGCTAGATACTGCTGGCAAAAGATACTATCTACTTGAAAAGGCGATATACTGCCTCGAAAAGACTACTTACTGCTTTCAAAAGACAATATATTGTTGGCAAAAGACTAATAACTGCTTGAATAGAGTAGATACTATTTCTAAAAGGTATCTACTGCTTCTAAAATGCTAGATACTGCTTAAAAAGACTACGGGCTGCTTGGGGAAGACTAGATACTGCTGGTAATAGACTAATAACTGCTTAAAAAGAGAAGATATTGTATTTAAATGAATAGGTACTGCTTGCAGAATGCTACATACTACTGGAAAACACTACTATCTACTTGGAAAGGCAAGATAATGCTTCTCAAAGACTACTTACTGCTTTCAGAAGACTAAATACTGCTGGAAGAAGACTACTAATAGCCTGAAAAGAGGATATACTGTTTCCAAAAGTTACCTATTTGTCGTCAGACTGCTAGATACTGCAGGAAAATACTACTATCTACTTGGAAAGGCGAGATAATGCTTCCCAAAAACTACTTATCTCTACTCGTCTTCGAAGTCGGCCGAGATTATTAAAAAATAGCCACAAAGTCCTTAAAGGTTAAAAAAAAAGGCGGCCGACGTCTTCGAAGTCGACCGAGATTACTAACAGAGTCCTTAAAGGTTTAAAAAAGAGCGGCCGACGTCTTCGAAGTCGGCCGAGATTACTAAAAGATAGCCACAAAGTTCTTGAAATTCAGAAATATCTTCCAATAGCTAGATACTGTTGGTAAAAGACTAACAATTGCTTGGAAAGAGGAGATAGATTCTAAAAAATTATCTACTGCTTCCAGAACGCTAAATGCTGCTAGAAAAGACTACTATCGACTTGGAAAGGCGATATACTGCCTCTAAAAGACCACTTACTGCTTTCAACAGACAATATATTGTTGGCAAAAGACTAATAACTGCTTGAATAGAGTAGATACTATTTCCAAAAGGTATCTACTGCTTCCAAAATGCTAGATACTGCTTAAAAAGACTACGGGCTGCTTGGGGAAGACTAGATACTGCTGGTAATAGACTAATAACTGCTTAAAAAGAGAAGATATTGTATTCAAATGAATAGCTACTGCTTGCAGAATGCTGCATATTACTGGAACACACTACTATCTACTTGGAAAGGCGAGATAATGCTTCTCAAAGACTATTTACCGCTTTCAGAAGACTAAATACTGCAGGAAGAAGACTACTAATATCCTGAAAAGAGGATATACTGTTTCCAAAAGTTACCTATTTTACTATCTACTTGGAAAGACGATATACTGCCTCTAAAAGACTACTTACTGATGTCAAGTGACAAGATACTGCTGGCAAAAGACTAATAACTGCTTGAAAAGAGGAGATACTGTTTCCAAAAGATTAACTATTGCTTCCAGAATGCTAGATATTGCAGGAAAATACTACTATCTACTTGGAAAAGCGTTCGAAAAGCTTCGAAGACTACCTACTGCATTCTGAAGATTAGATACTGCTGCGAAAAAACTAATAACTGCTTGGAAAGATTAGATACGGTTTCCAAAAGTTACCTATTTGCTTTCAGAATGCTAGATACTGCTTAAAAAGGTTATGGCCTGCTTGGAAAAAACTAAAAAGAGATGATTGTGAGAATGATTGGATCATATCAGAAAGGAAGATATAAGAGAGGAATTGGAAATTTTCGCAGTTAACGATAAAATCAAAGAATATAAAGAGAACTGGATGGACCACGTGCAGAAAATGCAGGATACTTTCTAGGTCTAGTGTTGGTTCTAGTTTTATTTCAATAAAAAAATTAAAATAAATTAATCCTTAAAAAAATTGGAATAAAAAATATTAAGTTGGCAACAACCAAGTTAGCAACATAATTCGGCGTCAAACAGTTTATAACCAAAAAAATGTTTTGTTTTGGGGTTATGTGTCAAAAAATTTGACATCTGTCACTTTATAAATTAATATATATATATTGTTATTAATACATATTAATTATTTAAAAAATCTTTTATCCATGGTAAAACCTAACATGTCCATAAATATAGGTTTTTCCCCACGTGTTCATGCACAAAACAGAAAATCTACGTGATTTCAATTATGTATCAAAATTAGCGATTTATTTATGCAAAATGTAAAATAATCAGTATAAAACGGCGTACGCCATAAACAAATTAGCCATTTACAAGTATTTTCAATCGATTTAAGTGTACATAAAATAATTTTAAGTGTTTTAAAAATAATAAAAGAAATAATTCGTTTAAGAAGGGGGAGAGCCTCTTTTCAATTTTAAATCGCGCTCTTTCACTTCCATTGTTATATTTGTTTATAACTTTCACGTCGAGAACACGCTAACACTATTCCTTTATCATTAGTTTTCATTCGAGCAAGAAATTTGAAACTTAATCGACTCATTTTATGTTTATACCCGCAAAATACTTTGAAAAGAATAAAATTTATTTAAATAGGTAAGTTTTTTTTAAATTTATTGTTTTTATCTTAAAGAGAATCAAAAATCCTAAAAATCTAATTTTTAGGTTATGTTTTAAACCGGAAGTGAGATATCTCGGTTATTATTTGAGATAACTTAAGGGTGTTTGGGCTCGTTTTAAAGGATTTTTTACCCCCTTTAAGATAAAACGAATAAAAACTGCCAAAAAAGAATTAATTTTAATCGATTAAATTAACATTCAAATCACGTAGTTTTCGCGAATCTTTTTTTAAGGTGTAGAAACAAATAGAAAACTTTATGTAACTCATTTAAGATTCGATTTTCGAATACAAATTAGATTGCGCAATTCAAAACGCTTCCTTTTAACTTTTTCTTTTTTTCAAATCTCTATTTGAACTAAAATCGATTTCAATTTTGACAACAAACTTTCACTTCTTTAATAATTATCTTAATTATTTTTAGAAATGGAATCAAAATCGGAAATTCAAAATTTTTATTCCGGCGCTAACGTTTTTATAACGGGGGCTACGGGTTTTTTGGGGCGAGTTCTCGTCGAAAAACTGTTGAGATCATGCCCGGATGTTGGGAATATTTATTTGTTGGTGAGGACGAAAAAAGGAAAGAATCTGCACGAACGCGTCGAGAATCTGTTGGAAGATGTGATTTTTGATGGGTTAAAAGAGAACGATCCTAAATTTAGGCATAAAATAACCCCGATTGAGGGTGATGTTGCGCTAAACGATTTAGGGATTAATGAGCAAGATAGAAAACTTTTAACTACTGAGGTAATTATTAAAAAAAAATAAATTAATTGGTTATGTTTTTGCTGAATTTATTATTTTTGTGCTTAATCAAGCATTTTTACTTGATTAATATTAATTAAATTGATATTCAACGAACGCCATCTATTATTTAATAGATTAAGTTAAAATTGATTCATAAACTACCGCCATCTATTGGTTTAAAATAGAACTATATTTAGATTTAATACTCTTGGCACTATTACAAAATGTTTAATCAATCATTACCTTTTTGACCAAATAATAGAGATAATAATAACCTAATAAAGAAACATTCAAAACTTCCACAACACTCGCTTATTAATATCGTCAAAAATCGAATAACTATCACTCCTTCAAGTTATTCTTCAAGCTGGTGTTATGATCATTGGAGTCATTGGATCTCAGTATCTGTTAGATGTTTTTGAAAATCAATATGTACTCTTGGAAATTAAAGCTTGCGGTCGTTATCCAATTGAGGTTGGTACTACTGAGGTTGTCGTGAGTCTCTAAGTATCTTTGTCAGGTCTCTTACTTGATTTGCTATCTATTAGGGGTCGTTAAAAACCAAACTTTAATACCAAAATAACTTGGAACCTCAATATCGAAATACTGGTATTTTATGGCAATATTGATTAAAGATAGAGATCCTAGAATATCAGTATTGCCACCACTTCGAGAGCAAGAAGACTTTGGGTGTTTAAATCACATAGTGTTGGTGTTCACTTTCCAGTTTTTCTCTTCTATATCCAATCTCCTCTTCTCGTGTTAGTCGCCGTACATTTTTTTTCCTTTAGCTACCAGTCTGCTTTTTATCTCTGCAATCTTGTCTTTCTTATGAATATAGTCTCTATTCACGGACTCTTTGAAGATACAGTTCATTCAGATCATGCATTACTTGTACCATGCTAAGTCCATAGAATAAGAGTTATTCTGTGGCTGGGTCATTACTTATCAACTGCCTACAAATAACCTAATAATGACAGACTATATAATAGTGACAGATGACTTAATAATGACATAACATGAAAATGACAAATAACTTAATAATGACAGATGATTTAACAATGATACAATATAAAAATGACATATAACTGTTGCTGTCTTTCAATACGGCGCTTCATAGGACACTATCAGGGGTTTGTTTCTATCTCTTTTAGTTTCGGAGATAGCCTATGCGTACAACGAATTTGGGACACCCTGTACATCACCAAGTGTATTTCTTTCATTATTATTATTTCATTATTGAATTTTTCTTTCAATTATGAATCACGGCCGTCTTCGAAGACGTCGGCCGCCCCGGGGAATCCCCAATTCAAGGATTATGCGCATCAAGAAATAAAAAATAAACATCCAGACGATTCTTGCCAATCCCAAAATTCCTGGGAGTCGAAAAAGTCGCCAAATGTCTTCGTGGTCACTTCAAATCCAGATTTCATATGATGTTGGTGTTTGTATTAATTGAGGTTGCTTTCTCCAAAAGTTGCAATCCGGATAAACTCGGTTTTTTGACGGCCAAAATCTTCTGGTTAACTTTGTACATAATCTGCATTCTAGAACGTACCAACCTCAATGAAAATTAAACAGCAGATCATCTAGCACAAACATTTCTAATTTTCTTGGCAAAATACAACCTCGGCCGACTTCGAAGACGTCGGCCGCCCTGAAATATCTGTTATTCTTAAATCCAGAGATTTCATGTCAATTCCCAAGTTCTTGAGAGTCAAAAATCCTGCAGATTTCATCTGAGGTTGGTGTTTCTTTTAATTAGGGCGGCCGTCGTCTTCGAAGACGGCCGAGGTTGCTTTCTCCATCAGTTGCAATCCGGATAAACTCGGTTTTTTGACGGCCAAAATCTTCTGGTTAATTTTGTACATAATCTGCTTTCTAAAACGTACCAACCTCAATGAAAATTAAACAGCAGATCATCTAGCACAAACATTTCTAATTTTCTTGGCAAAATACAACCTCGGCCGACTTCGAAGACGTCGGCCGCCCTGAAATATCTCTTATTCTTAAATCCAGAGATTTCATGTCAATTCCCAAGTTCTTGAGAGTTAAAAATCCTGCAGATTTCATCTGAGGTTGGTGTTTCTTTTAATTGGGGCGGCCGTCGTCTTCGAAGACGGCCGAGGTTGCTTCCTCCATCAGCTGCAATCCAGATAATCTCGTTTTTTTTGTCGGCCGACGTCTTTTGGTCAATTTTGTACATAATCTGCTTTCCAAAACGTACCAACCTCAATGAAAATGAAATGGCAGATCATCTAGCACAAACATTTCTGATTTTCTTGTCAAAATACAACCGCCTTGAAATATCTCTTATTCTCAAATCTAGAGATTTCATGTCAATTCTCACGTTCTTAAGAATCAAAAATCCGTCAGATTTAATATGAGGTTGGTACCGAAATGAATTTCTCCATGAATTGTAATCTAGATACTTGATTTTATATCTGGCAAAATACAGTCTACTCCAAGATAGACTCAGTTTTATGGTCTAAAATAATACAAAATGTCCTTTGATTATCAGAGTTATCCAACATAAAAAGTAATTAACTCATAATTTTAGGTTTCGATTGTTTTTCATGCAGCAGCCACCGTAAATTTCAACGAAAAATTAAAAATCGCCGTCCCCATAAACGTTTGTGGCACCCGAGACGTCTTAAAATTATGCCATGAAATGTCGAATTTAAAAGCAGTGATTCACGTCTCAACAGCTTACAGCAATTGCAACCAAAACGTTACGGAGGAAAAATTTTATCCAACTCCAATCCCTCCAACTAAGCTAATTGAGTTGGTTGAGGTGTTACCGGATGAGTTGCAAGAAAAAATTACTAAAGGGTTTGATTAAATCAACATAATTTGTATTAATTGTAATAAATTTTTTTTAGTATTTTACAAGATTTTCCAAATACTTATGCCTACACCAAAGCAATTGCTGAAAATGTTGTTTTAGAAGAAAGTTGTGGGCTTCCAATTGCGATTTTTCGCCCAGCGATTGGTAAATTAATTTATATTTTAACTCAAAAAATTATAATTTAATTATTTTAGTTACCTCGACGTATAAAGAACCAATAAAAGCGTGGATAAATAATTTATACGGCGCAACAGGGGTTATTGCTGGAGCTTATACTGGAGTTTTAAGGGTTTTGCAATGCAATGGAGATAATTTCGCAAATATAGTCCCAGCAGATATGACCGTAAACGCAATGATCTCAATTGCTTGGGACATTCAAAACGTAAAAAATGACTCTAATTCTAACATTCCGATTTATAATTTTGATTTAACATCTCAACAACCATTAACTTGGAACCGATTTATGACCGACACAGAGAAATATGGGCTTAATTACCCAACAATTCACGCAATGTGGTATTATTCCTTCTTTTTAACCACCAACAAATTAATTTATTTGGTATCATTCTTCTTCTTGCATTATTTACCGGCAATCTTTGGTGATTTATTTTTAATGATCACCATGAAAAAACCCCGCCTTATTAAATTTTACAAAAAAGTCCAAACATTTTCAAGCGTACTCATTCATTTTTGTATCATCCATTTCCAATTTAAATCTTATAAAGTACGAGAGATGATTGAGAGGATGTCTGTTGAAGATCGGACTCTGTTTTTTTGTGACTTAAAAAAATTAGATATTGAGGAGTACCTAAAAAGTTTAATCCCAGGGATTCGAGTTTATTTATTAAAGGATTCTTTGAACACTTTACCACAAGCCTTAAAAAAATGGAAACGGTAAATTTAACGGTTAAGTGAGGTTAATTCTGTTTTAATTAATTTGTTTTAGGTTGTATTGGTGCCATCAATTCATGAAAATCGTAGCTTTATTGATTATTGTAAGGATAATTTTTTGGTTTTATTAAGTTATTTTTGTAACCTAAAAAGTTTTTAAATAAATTTTGTTGTATTTACCTGAAATTCTCGTTGTTCTTGAGCTCATTTTTAAAGTTGGATTATAAGAATCTGGAATTATTTAAGAAAATTAAAGTTTTTTGAGGTTATGTTAAAAAAAAATTATTAAATTTAATAATCAAGGGGGATTTTATTATAAAAAGGATTTTAATGATTAAAACTCACCTTTTTTGAGTCTAAAACATTTTTATAACTTAAATAATCGCTAAAAAACATTAATTTTAAGCGATAAATTACGAAACGTCATTTTTGTTTGTTGTGATCGACTTTAATGCCAACCTCAAAAAAATTAATTTACTACAATTATTTTGAGGTTCTTTTCAAAAACAAAATTATTAAATTTAATAATAACGAAGAGTTTAATAATAATAAGGAAGTTAATGATAAAATCTCACCTTTTTTGAGCCTAAAACATCTTTACAAGTTAAATAATCGTTAAAAACTTCAAAGCGTCATTTTTGTTTGTTGTGATTTGACTTTAACACCAACCTCAAAAAAATTAATTTAAGAATATTTTTTTGAGGTTATGTACAATTTAATAATAAAGTTGAGTTTAACAATAATAAGGAATTTAACGATAAAAAACTCACCTTTTTTTGAGTAAACATCTTTTAGAATGTTTATAAAACTTAAATAATCGATTAATTTTAAGAGAAAAATTAAGACGCGTCATTTTTGTTTGTTGCGATTGACTTTAACACCAACCTCAAAAAAATTAATTTAATACAATTTTTTAAAAAACTTATTAAATTTAATAATAAAGATGATTTTAATTATAATAAGGAAGTTAATGATAAAAACTCACCGTTTTTGAGTCTAAAACCTCTTTATAACCTAAATAATCGTTAAAAACTTTAATTTTAAGCCATAAATTAAGATATATCATTTTAGTTTGTTGTGGTTGATTTAATACCAACCTCAAAAAAATTAATTTTTAATTTATTTATTATTTTTTAACAATTAAAGGATTTAATTTTAATTATGATTTAGGTTTAATTAAAAAAAATGGTTTAAATTAATCCCCGGCAAATTTATTTAAATTGATTAATTTATAATTTAATTATTGTTTTAAGGTGTCAATTAACCAACATGAAGTTGGCTCCTTTTTAGTAATTTAATTTATTTATTTATTTTTAATATTTTAATCAATATCTAACTTTTTAAACGTTCCTTCAACCCCGTAAATATCAGCCATCGTTTTTGGCTTACCAACTCGTTTCGTCTCATCGGTAAATTCGGTATTTTCTTGATCGAAAAACTCTTGGCAATCAAACATTCGCTTTTTAAATGTAACTAAAAGCCGAAATTAGCGCAAATTATTAACTTAATTAATTAAAATTACCTTGTAATTCTTTCCACGATGGGTTTTTGCCCCCATATTCGCTCGGCATCAAATCCTTATCGATGTGATTATACAAAGTCTCGATTTTTGGGTGGAAATGGATCAAATCGACGTATTCCTTTTTAATAAACGGCTTAACGAACATAAATAACTTTTCGGTAACCGCCGAAACGTTTATTATATGAATCCCTTTAACGCGATGAGGAAAACAATCCTAAAATTTAAAAAAAATAAAATTGGGAAAATGGTTAAGAGATGGCGCTGATTTAAACGTCAAAAATAATAACCTGCAAATAATAAGCCAATTTTTTCGTTGAAGTTAAACTAACTTTCATAACATGCGATAAATTTAACCCTTCTGAGTCGAGGATTAAAACTTGATTGGGGACAACTCCTTCTTGGAGTTGAAATAGATTAATTGCCATGTCGAAGCCTTTTATGGCTATGTTGTAGTTGAATAAATCCGCGTTTGGGTCTGCAAATCTGAAGAAAAGATGAGTGTCCCCGTAAGTTTTTGTTGGGAGAATCGCCATGCATCTAAATCAATAAATTAATTAATTTATGGTTAAAAGGATATTTAATTTATTAACTCACAATGAATCTGCTTGTTTATCAAGCGCTTTATCATTTAAATTCCTGTTAAGGAATAATTCTGGGGCGTGAGTTCTTGCAGTGTAAAAGTTTTCGATCAATACCTTCGCCTTTTCGATGTTGTTGTAAGCGCAGTGCAAAAAAATGATGAGTTTTAAATCTGAAACAAATCAAAATTAATCAAAAAATTAATTCGTTAATTAATTAATACCGTGAATTTTGGGTAAATGCGCTTGTTTTTGAAGCCATTCCTTCAAAATCCTTAAATCGTCCTTTTTTAATTCAGGATCCCTTTTAAATTGTTCCTCAACATCGGGTAAATTTGCAGGCATTTTGATAATAAATTCAAAATGTTCTAATTTAGGACCCCAACAACGAAAAGTGATGACTTTGCAATAAACGTCCACTTTTATTGCTATTCATTGAGATTTTTATTTAAAATTAATTTCTTGAGGATCGATTTTTGATTAGATAAAACGAATCGAGGTTGTTGTTTTTTAGTTGGGTCACTATAAATGAGATGTATCAAATGGTGTCAAACACGATATCAATCAAAAAAGTCCCCTAAAATACCACGTAGAGAATTGCTTAAACAAATATAAAAGTTTTACTCAAGGTCAAGAATACTTTGTTATGAGATTTTAATAACTAATCTGATTATTGTTGATTATCATACAAAGATAAATGAGGTGTTCTCAATAAAATGAGATAATCATTAATTTATTACACAAAATAAAACATTTTAATCAATGTTTAATTGTTTGAATGACCCATCAAAACCAAATAAAGCATTTTCGGTTAATGAAATCCTTTTTGATTCATCCACGATTTCTTTAGCTTCCAATTTGAAATAATCGGCGTTTTCCCGCAAAGTTTTCTCCACACCCTCTTTTAATTCTTTTATTGAAACATCATTTCCCCCGTATTCTTTCGGCAAGATATCTTTTGGGACGTAATCATATAAAGAATCGACTTTGGGATGAACTTGGACCTCAAAAAATCGTTACAAACAAATTTTTTTTAAATACTTTAAACTTACAACCTCCAATAACCCCGCTGTAATTAATGGTTTAATGATTGTGATTAATTTTTCGGTTAAAGACGAGGTATTTATGATATGAATCGCTCTTATTTTCGCACGAACACCTTCCTTAAACATTTATTTAAGTAAATAAATAATTAGTTAATCGAATTAATTAAAAATTACTTGGAGATAAGCGCCGTATTTTTGCACGACCATTAAATTCAATCTTAATAAGTGCCCTAAATGCGTTCCTTCCATGTCCAAAATTAATATTTGATCGTTTTGAGTTCCGTTTAGCATCAAATTTAATGTAAGTATCATATCGCCCATTTTAACCCAATTTGCGAATTGAAACACTTCCAAATTTGTATCTAATAGCTTAAATAACGAAACGGTGCAATCGTCTGGGGTCCGTTTTGGTAACATAGCTATTAAACTTTAAATAAAAAAAAATTTGTTATAAATAAAGATTTAAAATTATTTTAGATCGATTTAAAATTAAAAATCGAGTTATTTGAGTCCAAACACGATGAGTTTATCTTAAAAATGGACAAAGATACGAAAAAAATAAAAAAAAATAAATTAAAGATGGCGGATGTCAATGTCATTTTTTTAGGTTATGTTATTTGAAATAAAATATAGGGTGTTACGTATCAAATTAAAGGATTTTTAATTATCTTTTTGATTTTCAATAAATTTCCATGATTTTGCTTCAAATTTAATTTTTTAATTCTCAAAATAATGATTTAAAATTGTTTTCAATCGATTTAAAATTAAAAATCGAGTTATTTGAGTCCAAACACGACCACTTTATCTTAAATATTCGTTAAGTTACGCAAAAAAATAAAATTAAAGATGGCGGCTGTCAATGTCATTTTTAAGGTTATGTTATTTAATACAAAACGTAGATTGTGGGGTATCAAATTAAAGGATTTTGTATGCTTATCACGATTTCGACAAATTAATGATTTAAAATGTCATCTGATGATTCAAATGACATCTGTCAATGTCATATGTCAAAATTTTAAGTTGTGTTAATAAGAAACTCAACTGTTGGTATTAAGGTTGGTATCATATTAAAGAATTCTTTACGTTTCAAACAGAATCGTAAAATCAAAAGGGCGGATATGACATCTGTCAATGTCAAAATTTAACTTTTATTAATAAATAGTAACCTAGTCATGTTGGGTATTAAATTAAAAGATTTTTTGCGCTTAATCGAGTAACCGCAAAATCAAAATGGCGTACATAACATCTGTCAATGTCATATGTCAAAATATTAACTTTTATTAACAAGAAGTAACCTAGTCATGTTGGGTATCAAATTAAAGGATTTTTTGTGCTTAATACGATTTTGACGTTTTTAAAATAAAAAAAATAATTAGAAAAACAAAATGGCGGATTTTTATGTATTTTTTTCCGTAAATATGGGATGTTGGGTATCAAATTAAAGGATTTTTTACGATTTTGACGTTTTACAGTTAAAAAAAAATTAAAAAATCAAAATGGCGGATTTTTATGTAATTTTTTTCCGTAAATATGTGTTGTTGGGTATCAAATTAAAGGATTTTTTGTGTTTATTACGATTTTGATGTTTTTACAATTTTTAAAATAATCAAAAAAACAAAATGGCGGATTTTTATGTATTTTTTTCCGTAAATATGGGATGTTGGGTATCAAATTAAAGCATTTTAAGTTATCTTTTTGATTTTAAACTCATTTAAAGACTTACACGTGGTCTAAGCAATGTTTAATCGCATCGTAACTTCGATTAGCGAAAATTTCCGGGCACTTTGCCCGGATTTGGTAATAATTTTCGACGCATACTTTAGTTTGTTCCAAATTATAATCGCAACTTTGCAAAAAAAAGATTAATTTTAGTTCTAAAAATAGGAATCTGTTAAGTAATTTGTTATAAGTGCGAATTTATTATACTTGCCGTTTATTTTTGGTAAGTGTTGTTGCTTATTATACCATTGTTCTAGCCGATTAACATCTTCCTTTTTTAATAAATCTAATTTTTTGTACTCGTTATCGACGACAGCGAATTTGAAACCCATCACGCAAGTTTTAGAAAAAATTTAACTCGAAATCTGATGCATTCATGCAATACGTAATCGATAATTTTTTTGAGTGCTTTTAAGATTAGATATAAAGTAAACAATAAATAACAAAAATAATTTCATTATCTGTTATTTAAAACAAAAAAATTATTTAATTTAAGAAATTAAACCAAAAAAATAGAAAAATAATAATTAATTCAATTCGCGTTCACTTAATCATCCCAAATTAAATTCTAATTAAGGCTTAAATTGAGCATTTTTAACTTCTAAATTGACTAACAATAAAAATCGCATTGTCACCGAAGGAATAAGCCATTTGTAAAGCGAATCTAACCGGATTAGCTTCGTTGAAAAGAAGACTTAGAAAATTTAATTTGGCTTAAAATAAAGAAATTAAATAAAAAAAAAAGTCGTAAACAGCACGAAATAGAGAATAGCGTGATTGAAAAGAGTTAAATTCCTGACATTGAATTGAACAGGTCGTAACTAAAATTATATATGCATTGTGTTCCGATTCGAGAGAGGTAAAATAGTAGCGAACAAACAACTTTATCACAAAAGAATTTTATTTCAACGGAAAATAATTTTCAAGTATGGCTTCAACTTTAAATGAATACGAAAAAAATAAAGAACTAAATAAGGATGATGTTAAATATTTAACGGAGTGGATTAATAAGCAACCGCATTTACCCAAAATTAACGGTAATTCTTAATTAATTTAATTAATTAATTTAATTTAATTTCTTATTTTAGAGCTCCAATTAATTTTATTCCTCCACAGCTGTTATTACAAATTAGAACCAACAAAAACATGCATCGAAAACTTTTACACCGTTCGAGGCCATTGCCCAGAATTTTTTTCGAAACGCAACCCAAAAGAAAATCATAAAGAAGTAATCGATTTGGTACTTTACCGCCCTTTGGAACTTTTAACACCCAACGAGGGCTACAAAGTGATTTACGCCCGACTTATAAACACCGACGTGGATAAATACTCTTTTCCGACCCAAGTCAAAGCTTTCGATATGGCCTCGATGTTAATGTTACACTTGGAGGGTACCCACAAAGGGTTAATTATCGTCACCGATATGCAAGGGGCGACTTTCGCCCATTTAACCAAGTTGAATCCGCTTCACTTAAAAAAATTCTTTTTTTATTTACAAGATTGCATGCCTGTGAGGATGAAAGGGTTGCATTTTATTAATATTCCATCGTGGATTGATAAATTAATGGCCCTTATTAAACCGTTTATGAAAAAAGAATTATTAGAAGTGGTAAGTTAAAAAAAAAAATTAAATAAAGTATTTAAATTTTGATTCCATTTGATAAAGCGTAAAAAATCCTTTAATTTGATACCAAACACGACTAGGTTATCTCTTATTATATAAAAGTTACATCTGACATTGACATATGTCAAATACGCCATCTTAAATTGTTCAAATTCGATTTAGTTCGGCTTGAAAAATCATTTAATTTGATACCAAACACGACTAGGTTATCTCTTATTATATAAAAGTTACATTTGACATATGTCAAATACGCCATCTTAAATTTTACAAATTCGATTTAGTTCGGCTTGAAAAATCATTTAATTTGATACCAAACACGACTAGGTTATCTCTTATTATATAAAAGTTACATTTGACATTGACATATGTCAAATACGCCATTTTTAATTTTAAGACTCCTATTTAATTGTGATTAAAAAATCCTTTAATTTGATATCAAACACGATTATATTGCAATATTTGATAAAAGTTAAAATTTGACATTTGACATTGACAGACGCCATTTTGATTTTGACAAATTTATTATTATTATTCATAAAAAAACTGTAATTGAATGCCAAAGAGAAGCAGCTTAGTTCTCTCTTATTTCATGAAAGATTTTATGTGACATTTGACATTGACAGTTGTTAATTTGACAAGCACCATATTGAATAAGAGCACAATTTATTATAAAAAATCGTTTAACTTCACACTGAGTATTACATAGAAATAAAATGCTTGGTGAAAAATAAAATTTGACATTTAAGATTGACAGATGTCACTTACGCCATCTTGAAAATGACATATTCTACTCGGTTAAATTTAAAAATTATATAATTTTACACCAATTAGGATAATTAAGGAACAATTGAATAAATTTATTTTTTTTTAAATTGACAGATGTCAAAATTACAACATACTATTTTGAAATGTCAAAGTTAATTTTTATCCGAGAATAATAATTTTAAATATGCTCCGATCACGTTTGGTATCAAAATGAAAGTTTTTTTATTAAAATTTTTCAATATCAAAAATGGCGTATGTGACAGCTGTCAACGTCAAATGTCAAAATTTTTATTTTTATTGATAACCTAATCATGTTGGGTATCAAATTAAATGATTTTTTACGCTCAATCTAAGAGAATTAAAAAATCAAAATGGCGGATATGACATCTCTCAATGTCAAAATTAATTTTAATCAAATAAAAAGTAATCAATCCCAACCCAATTACGAATTGACAAAGATACGCAAAAAATTAGAAAAAAAAAGATGGCGGATGTCAATGTCATTTTTTTAGGTTATGATATTTGAAATAAAATATAGTATAATTTTTAAAATTGTTTTCAATCGATTTAAAATTAAAAATCGAGTTATTTAAGTCCAAACACGACCACTTTATCTTAAATATTCGTTAAGTTACCCTACAAATAAAATTAAAGATGGCGGCTGTCAATGACATTTTTAAGGTTATGTTATTTAATACAAAATATAGATTGTAGGGTATCAAATTAAAGGATTTTTTATGCTTATTACGATTTTGAAAATTTAATGGTTTTAAAATGTCATCTGATCATTCAAGTAACATCTGTCAATGTCATATGTCAAAATTTAAACTTTTATTAATAAGAAACACGATTAGGTTGAGTTTGGTACCAAATTAAATTATTTTTTATACATAATTTATTAAAATTTGTCAATATAAATAAAATGATTAAAGTGACATCTGTCAATGTCATATGTCAAAATTTAAACTTTTTTAATAAGAAATAATCTAGTCATGTTTGGTATCAAATTATAGGATTTTTTATGCTTAATCGAAAAAAATCACAGAATCAAAATGGCCGGTATGACATCTGTCAATGTCAAAATTAATTTGAATCAAATAAAAAGTAACCCAATTAGGGTTGATATTAAAATAAAAGGATTTTTTATGCACAATTGATTAAAATTTATCAATATAAAAATGGTCAAGGTGACATCTGTCAATGTCATGTGTCAAAATTTAAACTTTTATTAATAAATAGTAACCTAGTCATGTTGGGTATCAAATTAAAAGATTTTTTGCGCTTAATCGATTAAAATCAAAATGGCGTACATGACATCTGTCAATGTTATTTGTTAAAATTTTAGCTTTATTAATAAGAAATAACCTAGTCATGTTGGGTATCAAATTAAAGGATTTTTTATGCTTATTACGATTTTGAATATTTAATGATTTTAAAATGTCATCTGATCATTCAAGTAACATCTGTCAATGTCATATGTCAAAATTTAAACTTTTATTAATAAGAAACTCGATTAGGTTGAGTTTGGTACCAAATTAAATTATTTTTTATACATAATTGATTAAAATGTATCAATATAAATAAAATGGGTAAAGTGACATCTGTCAATGTCGTATGTCAAAATTTAAACTTTTTTAATAAGAAATAATCTAGTCATGTTTGGTATCAAATTATAGCATTTTTTATGCTTAATCGAATAAAATCACAAAATCAAAAATGGCAGGTATGACATCTGTCAATGTCGAAATTAATTTGAATCAAATAAAAAGTAACCCAATTAGGGTTGATATTAAAATAAAACGATTTTTTATGCATAATTGGTTAAAATTTATCAATATAAAAAAGGTGAAGGTGACATCTGTCAATGTCATATGTCAAAATTTAAACTTTTATTAATAACCTAGTCATGTTGGGTATCAAATTAAAAGATTTTTTGCGCTTAATCGATTAACCACAAAATCAAAATGGCGTACATGACATCTGTCAATATTATGTCAAAATTTTACCTTTATTAATAAGAAATAACCTAGTCATGTTGGGTATCAAATTAAAGCATTTTTGACGCTTAATCTAATAGAGTCAAAATGGCGGATGTGACACCTGTCAATGTCAAAATTGACGTTAATACACTAAAAAACAATTAATTTTAGCTACAACTTCACTCCGATTTGGAAACTTTATACAAATACGTCCCTCAATCGTGTTTACCGAAAGATTATGGTGGAAATGCCGAGAGTTTTCAAGAATTAGCAAGTAAATTAATTAAAAATAAAATAATTTTTGACGTTTATTTCGAATTTTTTTGCAGAAAAACAAAGAAAGCTGCTTTTAGAGAATGCAGATTACTTTATCGAAGAAGAAAAATTAATAACCGATGAATCAAAGCGCCCGGGGAAGCCAAAAAACGCTGGAGATATTTTCGGTGTTGAGGGATCATTCAAAAAATTAAACATCGATTAAAATACCTTCCTTTCAAATAATGTCGCAATAAACAATTAATGAGACTTATTAATGCAAATTTATTCCCTTTCCACCTTTACTCACTCTATTAATACAAAATTATCACCGAATTGTAACCCGTTTCAAAGTGAACGTGCAAGAAATATCAATGCAATTTAATCTCGTTTAAAAAAAAAAAGAAAGAAACAATAAATTTCGATTACTTAAACTTTAAAGATTGTTTGTTGGGTGGGGGCGAAAAAATATCGAGAGAATTTTTGAACGTTGGACCCCTCTCTTTAAACAATCGCGTATTATATTCGTTTTTCTACTGTATTGTGTATCTTATCTTTATATTAAAATTTAAAAGCCGAAAAAGTGGATAATACCTCGACTCAAGCTTCGAATATCGATCATTGTTCAAATCGATTCGATTCGAGTTCGACGACTTCTCAAAATGACACAATTCGCAACCGCAGAAAGCGAATATAATAAAGACAAAAAGATCCGTAAGGAAGATGTCGAGGCTTTGGAGGAGTGGGCTAAAAAACAACCTCATTTACCCAAAATTTCCGGTAAGAAAAGATTTATTTTAATTTAAAATAAAATAAAGTTATTTAAAATAATTTTAGAGGTAAAATTGATCCAATTTTTGCAAAGTAATTATTATCGCTTGGAGGCAACCAAGACTTGCATCGATAAATATTACACGATTAAAGCCCAATGCCCCGATATTTTTGCAAACAGAACCGTTGATTCGGTTAAAGACATCATGAGCATCGTAACTGCCACGTTATTGCCTAAAAAGAGCAAAAATGGGTACACCGTTTTATTCTGCAAATTGATGGACAAAAACAGCGATAACTTCAGCAACTTGGAGGTTATTAAATACTTCGATATGGTCCTAAGCGTGCTTTTGGCCCAATTAGGAACTTGCGAGGGGCACGTTTTGGTCATCGATATGGAAGGGCTCAGTTTGAGTCATATCGCTAAAGTTAACATCAACGTGACCAGAAAATACATGTATTTCCTTCAGGTGAGATAATCTTTCCGATTTTAATCTTAAGATAAGACACAAAATTGTTAACTCATTATATTACGCAACTCAATCAACAGGAAGCCCTCCCAATCAGGACCAAAGAGATCCACATCGTCAACGTAAGCGCTTTGGCCCAAAAACTTCTAAATTTAGTGAAATCTTTCATCAACAAAGACATTTTAGACGCGGTAAGTTAAAATTATTTCAAATTAATTAAATTTTTAATTAAAAAATTTATTTAGCTTCACCTCCACACTTCGGTTGATGGATTATTCGAGTTCATCCCTAAAGATGCTTTACCAAGCGAGTATTCGGGACAAAATGAATCTTTGGTGGCGATGCAAAAAGAGGTGAACAAATCCTTGGTGGATAACCAACAATTTTTGCGCGAAGATGAGAAAGAAATCGCAGATGAAACTAAACGCGTAGGGGGGAAAGCTAAATATTTAGATGAAGAACCCGAAATGGCCGGAAGCTTCAAGAAATTGGATGTTTTTTAAAATTAATTCATTAAAAATTTTGACTTAAAACGATTTTTATTTGTACCCTTTAATTTTGGTTTGAAACTCGGCTAAAAATAAGTCTATTAAATCATAGATGTCGCCCCAATTTTTTTTAATTTTAATTAATTTTTTTAAATAATTAAAAAATTTTTAATTTAATTAAAATAAACTTAAAAAATCTTACCTTTAATAAATCTAATCTTCTCCGCATCATCTTGAAACTTAGATCATGCGCATTTTGATCAGCATCAACAAGAACTTTTCGCTTCTCCCCAGTCTGCTTTTAGCATGCTTTTAGTAAGCAATCAACTCTAAAAATGATAAAAAAATCTATTAAAATCCTCATTAAAAAAAAGTTTCATCTAAATATTTACACAAACTTTTAAAATCGATTTTATTACCCAATCGAAATCGAAATTAAATTCGAAAAAGTTTTAAAATCGTCTTTTAGTTGCGTCGTAATAATAATAGTTAAATTAAATAGTTAAACAATCGCGATTATTAAACGAGATTTTAAATAAACATCAACCTTGAGTAATAATCTATAATCCTAATGTTAATATTTTCGGTAAATTTCTTAGCCCTACTTTTTATTGAAAACGAAAATCGTTTTGGTTGTTTTCGTGCGTGGTTTATAAACGCCGCCAGTCAAGTTCGAACGTGTTTCGTGGAACCACTTCTTCGCGAAGCTAAACTAAATAGGAGCCGTTAATGAACTTCGCTTCAAAGTAAATTTTAATTATTAATAATTACTATTAAATTAAATCGTTATCGTATTAAAATGAGTTTGTAAAATGACAAAAAACATGGTTAATAACTTTCTTGTAAAATTAATTTTGTGTGGGTTTTTAATTTGTAAAGAAAATTTCGTTGTGGGAGATGGTAAGTTGTTTGTAATATTTGTTATTTGCAAACTTAATTCCGAAATAATTGGATGAAAAAAGGACAACGTCCTTTGATTAGTATTCCCTAAGGAGGATTTACTTGGAGGAAGAACGCAGTTAATTAAGACCATTTAATAATATCGAACAAACAAATGTACTAAAACAAATAAAAATTAATTTTTCTAAAATATTGAAAATCAAACTCTGTATTTAAAAGTTGTTGAGTCCGATGTTGAGAATTTTTCTCATATTTGAAGATGAAATAAAATTAAGATAAGTTATACCTCAACTTATTTTAAGAATCTTTTAGAAATGTAATAATATCGACAGGAATATGGTCAAGACTATAATAAAGTATCATATATATAAGTATTATACAGGGTGCCCATTATGTATGGAATATAGTATATATCTTGGTAGGTATTAACTTTATAAAAAAACATTTTATACAAATGTTGTTTAGTATTATATTTGCCATAATAAGACAGCATTGAATTGTTTTTATTTCAAAAAACAAATGAGCAACGAATAACACTTGAAGTTTTTTAAATGGCAATGTAGTAACAAGTGTTAAGTGGCAAGTATTGACTTTTTCCTATTTTTATTAAATAAAAGAAAAATTAGTGTACATCTCCAATAATTCGAGGTACTTCCAGGTACTTGACGATCTCGGATATTTAGATTAATGTTATTAGTTAAATTAGTCAAAAATTTTCAGATATAAGGGTACTAAAATTTTACGTCATCGTAAAGAGAAAAAAAATCTCTATCAAATGAGCCTAACGAAAGGGTACATTGCCATTTAAAAAACTTCAAGTGTTATTCGTTACTCATTTGTTTTCTGAATTAGAAACAATTGAATACAGTCTTATTATGGCAAATAAAATATTAAACAATTTTTGTATAAAATGTCTTTTTATAAAATTGATACCTACGAAGACATATACTATATTCCATGTATGGAATATAATATACAGGGTGTCCATTATGTATGGAACATAGTATGTATCTCGGTAGGTATCGACTTTATAAAAAAATATTTTATACAAAAGTTGTTTAATATTTTATTTGCCATAATAAGACAGCATTCAGTTGTTTTTATTTCAGAAATAAATGAGCAACGAATAACGTTTATTAAGAGAATTTAACTAATAATATTAATCTAGATATCCGAGATCGTCAAATACCTCGAAGTACCTCGAATTATTGGAGATGTATACTAATTTTTCGTTTATTTGTTTTATTTTGTATGTAAATTTAATTTACGGTAATAATTCAAGGTACTGGACGATCTCGGATATCTAGATTAATGTTGTTGATTTATTTTTATTAATAAACAATTTTTACATTTTTTTCATAAATTTTGTGATATTGTGTGATACGAAAGGGAACATTGCCATTTAAAAAAATTTAAGTGTTATTCGTTACTCATTTGTTTATTATTGTTCTTATTATGGCATTTTTTTTATAATGTTGATACCTACCAAGATATATACTATATTCCATACATAATCGACACCCTGTATATCTGAGCAGCCTGTATGATACTTTATAGAGTGTTGAACATCTTTATGTCAACATCATATCAACTCTAGCGCCTCGGCCGCAAGCGACCTCGGCGTTTTGGATATATATGATACTTTATAGAGTGCTGACCATTTTTATGACAACATCATATCAATTCTAGCGCCTCGGCCGCAAGCGACCTCGGCGTTTTGGATATATATGATACTTTATAGAGTGTTAACCATCTTTATGTCAACAGCATATCAACTCTAGCGCCTCGGCCGCAAGCGACCTCGGCGTTTTAAATATGTGTGATGTTTTTTATAGTGTTAACGATTGTGTCATTGTCATATTAACTCCAGTGCCTCGGCCGCAAGCGACCTCGGTCTTTTGAATATACCGGGTGTCCCTCAAAAGTGGCTCACCCCCATATTTTTTTTTATTATTAGTGATATAAGAAAACCATTTGGAATGCATAGTTAGGTCGCTAAAACGGATTATTACGACATGAAATCATTCTTTTTGTGCTTCCGGTTACACCGGATGTGAGTACTAATTTCGCTATTTTTTAAATCTATATTTTTTTTTCTTCAGTTGGGTAGACAGTGTAATTTCACATATCTTTTACTTGAAAAAATTTTCACGATCGCTTATAATTTTTGAAACAAAAATTATTTTCGTTATTTTTTAACGTTTTAGTACCTTCGGAAAATGTATTACAACTTTTGACATATAGTAGCTAGGTTAATAGTACAAACTACGTTATGTCCCTCTTGATTTGCTATTGCTCGAGCAGTGATCACTGCTATGCTTTAGTTAGTGGTTCTTTTTTAATAATGGTGTAAATTAACAGTTGTATTAAATTAGTTTTAAAAGAAAAACGCTATCCAACAATTAAATTTAATTCAATTGTAAGTTCAAAAAAACTAATTTTCTAAATTTTCAAAATGCTCCCGCCTCGATTTTGACATAATTGTATCTTGCGTATTGTCGATCTAACGACTCGACGTTATTCCTGCGGAGATATTTAGGTAATACAATTTCTAACTCGATTTATTTTCTAATACCTCACGAGACCTTACTGGTGTATTATACAGCTCATTTTTGATTTTGCCCCATAAAAAGAATCTAAAGGTGTGAGGTCAGGTGATCTGAGAGGTTTTAACCAAAATAAAGTAAACAATCCAAATTATAATGTACAATGGACATTGTAAGTAACTATCAGCTACAGAACATTTAGTGTAAAAGAACAAAAAATAAAGAAAAAAATAAAAAATAATTGAATTAAACTTAATTGTTTGATCGCGTTTTTCTTTTAAAACTAATTTAATACAACTGTTAATTTACACCATTATTAAAAAAGAACCACTGACTAAAGCATAGCAGTGATCACTGCTCGAGAAATAGCAAATCAAGAGGGACATAACGTAGTTTATACTATTAACCTAGCTACTATGCGTCAAAAGTTGTAATACATTTTCCGAAGGTACTAAAACGTTATAAAATAACGAAAATAATTTTTTTTTCAAAAATTATAAGCGATCGTGAAAATTTTTTCAAGTAAAAGTTATGTGAAATTATACTATCAACCCAACTGAAGAAAAAAAAATTATAGATTTAAAAAAATAGCGAAATTAGTACTCACATCCGGTATAACCGGAAGTACAAAAAGAATGATTTCATGTCGTAATAATCCGTTTTAGCGACCTAACTATGCATTCCAAATGGTTTTCTTATATCACTAATAATAAAAAAAAATATGGGGGTGAGCCACTTTTGAGGGACACCCGGTATACTATATTCCAGGGTTGCGTTCCAGTCCATTATTATATATGTTGTCCACATGGATGTCATTATGAACGACTAGGGTTAAACCTGGGTGAATCGAGTAAGCGTTGTGAACGCAACCCATACATAATGGGCACCTGTATATCTGGGCATCCTGTATGATACTTTATAGAGTGTTGAACATCTTTATGTCAACATCATATCAACTCTAGCGCCTCGGCCGCAAGCGACCTCGGCGTTTTGGGTATATATGATACTTTATAGAGTGCTGACCATTTTTATGACAACATCATATCAATTCTAGTGCCTCGGCCGCAAGCGACCTCGGTCTTTTGAATATATAATACGCTTTATTACAATATTGACAAAGTTTGTGTTAGTATCATATCAACTCCAATGCCTCGGCCGCAAGCGACCTCGGCGTTTTGGATATACATGATACTTTATAGAGTGCTAACCATCTTTATGTCAACATCATATTAACTCTAGCGCCTCGGCCGCAAGCGATCTCGGCGTTTTAAATGTGTGTAATGTTTTTTATAGTGTTAACCACGATTGTGTCATTGTCATATTAACTCCAGTGCCTCGGCCGCAAGCGACCTCGGTCTTTTGAATATATAGTACGCTTTATTATAATATTGACAAAGTTTGTGTTAGTATCATATCAACTCCAATGCCTCGGCCGCAAGCGACCTCGGCTTTTTGAGTATATATGATACTTCATTATAGTGCTGGTCATCTTTATGTCGACATCATATCAACTCTAGCGCCTCGGCCGCAAGCGACCTCGGTCTTTTGAATATATAGTACGCTTTATTATAATATTGACAAAGTTTGTGTTAGTATCATATCAACTCCAATGCCTCGGCCGCAAGCGACCTCGGCTTTTTGAGTATATATGATAATTCATTATAGTGCTGGTCATCTTTATGTCGACATCATATCAACTCTAGCGCCTCGGCCGCAAGCGACCTCGGCGTTTTTAGCATATAGTACGCCTTATTATAATATTGACAAAGTTTGTGTCAGTATCATATCAACTCCAGTGCCTCGGTCGCAAGCGACCTCGGCATTTTGAATATATACGATGCTTTATTGTAATACTGACCATCTATCATCTTTTATATAAATCACCATTTTAAATAAAATTAAGCATAAAACTATTAGTATAGCAAAAAATGGCCAATTTGTGTTTTGTGAATGAAGTTGGGGTTGATTTCGTGTAAATGTTAAAGCAGTCTTAAAATTGAATTATTAAAAATGATTAAAATCGAAACGTCACATTTTAAATTTACTAATAATAATGTTCGACAAGTTCAAGCTTGTCCGAAACTTTGGACATGTCGATTTCCAACTTCCAACGTCATATTTAACGTTCGAATCTATCGTCACGCTAAATAAACCGCAAAATCGATAAACTAATTGACTCGGCCAACTTTGAATGATCCCAATTAAGGACGGGCTTCATATGCAAATTTTTCTAATCAAACATTGCACAATTTAATACAACATTTTCAAAGAACTTTATTATATTTCGGGAAATATTTAACGTTTAAGAATCTTCCGCTTAAACGGTCAAAGAAAACCCGATTCTAAACTCAACTTCAAACTAAAATAAATAACGTAAATGCGATTTAACTCAAGTTTTAACACAATTTATATTTGTGTAAGTTTATGTTAGTGCGATTTTTGTTTTTTCAGGTGAAAACCGTTAAATTTTTTTTTACGGTTCGAAGCCTTATAACAAAATTAAAGAGAACTTACAAAATACTTTATATTTTCTCCACCATTTTCGCCCATTTTGAATCAAAATGTGCCATTAATTTATTAAAATGACAGTTTAAGAAGGGGAAACCTTTATTTATCGTCGTTAAACGAGCGAAAATTAACTCTAGATAGGCATCAATTACGCAAAACGGTCAATTTTGATCGATTACGACGATTCAGGAAGTTTAATTACGTTTCTTTCCAGAAAGTTCAATAAATTGCACCGTTGGTGAGCTTTTATGTCCGAATTCAACGATTTGTATCCCACAACATAAATTTTGTAACGTTTTAATCGATTGTCCGTATGGGGCGGATGAAAATCCGAGTTATTGCGGTTTGTTTAATATTTTATTAATTGGCAATTTCATATAACTCGCAATATATGAATGGTGTAACCATAGTTACAAAACTACTATGTACTTGCACTGTACCACATAAAATGTAACATAGCTTAATGGTACAGGAATTGGGGAGTTTTGCAAAGGAAAAATTTTGCTTTTGACATATTTGTAATCTTCATTAAAAATCCTTTAAAATGAGTACAAACACGACATATTTATCTTTAATATTAATGAAGTTATGGTCNTATGTCATTTAATACGTATAAAAAAATTTGTTTTAACAGAAGTTGTTAAAAATAAAATTCTAAAACGATTTTATTAATGAAAAAAATCAATATCTCAATTAGGTGTCGCTGTTTTAATATAAAAAAATTATTTTTTGAGGTTATGTTTTTAATTATTGATTAAATCAAAAAATTTTATGAACAAGATTTGTTTAGAATTAAATCAGCAATAATTTTTCTTAATAAAATTTTTTTCTATCGTTAAAATTTAATTTCCCACTGAATAGTACGGTTTATGTCATTTAATACGTACAAAAAAATTTGTTTTAACAGAAGTTGTTAAAAATTGAATTCTAAAACGATTTTATTAATGAAAAAAATCGATATCTCAATTAGGTGTCGTTGTTTTGATACAAAAAAATAATTTTTTGAGGTTATGTTTTTAATTATTGGTTAAATCAAAAAATTTTATGAACAAGATTTGTTTAGAATTAAATCAGCAATAATTTTTCTTAATAAAATTTTTTTCTATCGTTGAAATTTAATTTCCCACTGAATAGTACGGTTTATGTCATTTAATACATATCAAAAAAATTTTTTTAATAAAAGTTGTAAAAAATTGAATTCTAAAACGATTTTATTAATGAAAAAAATCGATATCTCAATTAGCTATAGAACTAGAAACATTCGGATTCAGATGTACGGTTATATCGAGGTTTATACTGTAAAAACTTTATTTATTCAACCTTTTAGCGACTTAAGTTTCAATAAGATCGAAATAATCCAAGAAGAAACGTTTATAAATCTACAAAATTTAAACGAATTGTGAGTATTAAACAATTTTTTAATTAAATTAAAATTAAAAAACATTTTTTAGATACATCCGAGGAAATAAAATAATTAAAATCGCAAAAGACACATTCTCCGAGCTCCCTTTAAGCGTTTTATCTTTAATCGGGAACAAAATCGTGTCAATTGAGAGATTGAGTTTCTCAAAATTACCTCAATTAACAACATTGTAAGGGTTAAATAACTCAAAGTGATTTTATGAATCAAAAAAAAAAACATTTCCCCCATTATAAAAGCCATAAAAAGCTCTCACGTTCCCTATTTCATAAATCGTATCGCTTTTATTGCACTTCCATCACGCTATCTAATGTTTAACCACTTCAACCACGACGATTTAACTTTTTTATAACTCGCGTGACGCGAATCAACCAAAAATAATAAATTAATAAAAAAAAAGTACTCAAATTTATATGAAAACAAAAAAAATCAAATAAAATATAATAAAGTTTTTCTAAAAGTTCGAATAAACGCGTGCCTCTTGGGTTTAATAAAACATTTCGTTTCGAAATTGTGAAGGAAACTTCCGGGATTATACTTTATTCGGGATTATACGAGTTCTTTTATGAGACTAGTTGTAAAAGAGCCACCATAACATAACAAGGTTGTTTGGTTAAAATCGCTTTGAGTTTAACTTCAAAAAATTTTTTTATTTATTTAATTAAAAATTTATTTATTTATTTATGTATGAAGAGATCTAGGTGAGAATAATTTAGAAAATTTATATAAAGGAACATTTTGGAATCTCTCGAAATTAACATCTTTGTAAGTTACTTAAAGTGTTGAATAAGAATTCGGAGCTAAAAACTCGATTCTGTTGTTGCAGAACTTTAAACGGAAATTCGTTGCGAAACTTCGAATCGGGGGTATTCGAAGACCTCGAAGCTTTAGTTTCATTGTAAGACGTTATTAATTAATATTTTAATAAAAGAAAATTTTTTTTTAATGATTTTAGGAATTTGGAGGGGAATTTTTATGAAAACCTCAACCAAAAATTATTTGCCCCGTTAAAAAAACTAGAACACGTGTAAATAAAAAAAATAAATTAATAAAATTAATTAAATTAATTAAAAAAAATTTTTTAAAGATATTTTAGGAGATTTGAAATGTGCAAGGCAGTTCCTTTATTAAAAGATTGCAACCCGAAAGATGATGGTATCTCGAGTAGTAAACATTTGTTGCATAATCCCGTTTTGAGGACGAGGTAAATAAAAATTAATTTGAATTCATCAAATTTCCCGCTAAAATAATATGAGCCAATCACATCACTTTAATCCAAAATGGCCGTGGTAACTAAGGGTAGCTAACGCGTAACTAAGCAACGCATATCGTATTGACATTTTGCGTGAATTTTTAAACTTAAGTTTTTCAAAAAAATTTTTGGTTATAAAGGTGTTTCTTTTTTAACATAAATAAACAGAAAATTAAAAATGCTTTAAAATGAACCCAAACTCGACTTATTTATCTCTAACCGTTATCGAGATATCGTAATTTTTACAAAAAAGAAAATGGCGATTATTTGACAGTTTCTAACCTAACTTTTTTTATCTTTTAACCTAAATATATCATGTTTAGTATCAAATCAAAGCATTTTTGATCCTGATTAAGATCATTTTAATATTTATCAAAAAATCGTTATATTTAATTTTGACATTTGACAGTTCCCAACCTAACTTTTTTAATTTTTAANCCTCAATTTTGACATATTTGTAATCTTCATTAAAAATCCTTTAAAATAAGCCCCAACATGATACGTTTAATTCCAATATTACTCGAGATATAAGCAACTTCCGGTTTGAAATGTCAATGTCACTTTGACATATTCTTAATATTCTTATATTCTTAATTATTATAAAATGTCTTAAAATTTGTCACAAAAACAAAAGTATAATAAAAAAAATCAAAAATTAAGGTTGGTATTAACATTTAAAAATTAAATTGCTATCTTCATTGTTGCCAACTTCAGATTTAACGTTTTTTCATTCTAACTTTTTTGTTTTTCGAGATAAATGCATCATGTTTGGGCTCATTTTAAAGGATTTTTCACGGCGATTACAAATATCTCAAAATTGACGTTGACATTTCTAACCGGAAGTTAATCTTAATTTCATTAATATTGAAAATAAATATGTCATGTTTGTACTCATTTTAAAGGATTTTTAATGAAGATTATAAATATGTCAAAATTGAGGTTGACATTTTATTTCAAAAACTAGAAATATTCAGACATGTTGCATTTTATGTGGGACAAATTAACCCTGGTTTCTATGGAAATATATTTTTGTGTATTGCATCTTATGTGAAATTCACTGAAAATTAAAAATGATTTTAGAATGATTATTTTAGATGATTACCATTTGGATGCATTTTGGGATCGGATATTTTCCAAAAACCCCAAAGCGGTTAACGACGATTTGGATGAGAGGTGCAAATTTGAGTACGAAGGAAAGTGTTTGTGTCGCCATCGCGATTTGTTGTGCAAAAATTTGGAATTAATCGAAATCCCGGATATAAAAGATTTTGAAATTGATATATTGTAAGTTTGGCGGAGTGGGGGGAAAAAAATTGTTTGTTTTTAATTTCCAGGGATTTATCCGGGAACACTTTCAAAGTTTTAAACAAAAAATTATTCGATGAGGTCCCCAACAACGTTCAAAAAATGTATTGTAACAAAAAAAATTAATTAATTTTTTTAATTTATTAACTTTTAGGGTTATGAAGCACTGCGAAATCAACGAAATTAAAAGTTCCGCGTTTTTCGGGTTAACCCATCTCAAAGAGATGTAAGGTTTCGATTATTTTGTGGAACAAAAACTAAAATTTCGTTTCTAGATATCTAGATAATAACCGGATACAAAGCCTGATTGATTGCAGTTTCGGCGAAAACAACATCTTAAACACCCTGTAAGTGCCACGTACGTTAATTAATTAATTTAAACCGTTTCTCAACAGGGTTTTAAGCTACAATAGAATCGCCGACGTCCATGCGGACTTCTTTTGTAACTTAACTCGGCTACTTAAGCTGTAAGCAAACTTAATCATCTTATAAAATACGGTAAAACCTCGATATAACTTAATAATTAGACCTAAAAGTAGAAAGATTCAAAAAATAGATAGAATTCCGCATAGAAACCAGTAGTGTCGCCTGCGGTTTGCGGTTTGCAGTCTGTCGCCTGTCACAGAATTGTACCTTAACGTTGAATAGGGACGTTAGATATGAAATTGGAGCTCTTTTTGCGTAGATTAAAAAACAATTGAAATTCAAACGCAAAACAAACCAACCTAACTGTCAACTGTCATTTTTCATTTCTTAAAAATTAAATTTCTTTCAAAATATGGGTTGTTGGGTATCAAATTGAAGCCCTTTTAACGTAGATTAAGAAACAATTGCAATTCAACCTTAAAATAAATAGAGTCAACTGTCAGCTGTCATTTTTCATTTCTTAAAAATTAAATTTCTTTCAAACTATGGGTTATTGGGTATCAAATTGAAGCCCTTTTAACGTAGATTAAGAAACAATTGCAATTTAACCTTAAAATCAATCGAGTCAACTGTCAGCTGTCATTTTTCATTTCTTAAAAATTATATTTCTTTCAAAATATAGGTTGTTGGGTATCAAATTGAAGCCCTCTTTACGTAGATTAAAAAACAATTGAAATTCAAACGCAAAATAAACCAACCAAACTGTCAACTGTCATTTTTCATTTCTTAAAAATTAAATTTGTTTCAAAATATAGGTTGTTGGGTATCAAATTGAAGCCCTTTTAACGTAGATTAAGAAACAATTGCAATTCAACCTTAAAATAAATCGAGTCAACTGTCAGTTGTCATTTTTCATTTCTTAAAAATTAAATTTCTTTCAAAATATGGGTTATTGGGTATCAAATTGAAGCCCTTTTAACGTAGATTAAGAAACAATTGCAATTCAACCTTAAAATAAATCGAGTCAACTGTCAGCTGTCATTTTTCATTTCTTAAAAATTAAATTTCTTTCAAAATATGGGTTGTTGGGTATCAAATTGAAGCCCTCATTACGTATATTAAGAAACAATTACAATTCAACCTCAAAATAAAACCAGTCAACTGTCAGCTGTCATTTTTCATTTCTTAAAAATTAAATTTCTTTCAAAATATGGGTTGTTGGGTATCAAATTGAAGCCCTCATTACGTAT